TTGCGGCCGTCTCGTCCAAAACTTGGCCAAGGACTGCAATACTTCTGACTGATGCAGGAAGAGCCTTCAAGAAAGCTTCCTCTACAAAAGGTCTGTAGACTCTGACATTGATAACACCAACTTTCTCGCCCTCAGCAGAAAGCTTCTTGGCGACTTGAGTGGCAAGAGAACTCTCAACAGAACCAAATACAACCAAAACAGATTCAGGTGACTCGTGTCCACTGTACTCAAAGAGGCCATATGATGTACCAAGTTCGCTGTTGAAAGCCTCAAGAAGTGAAGAAACCTTGCTTTCAGCATCAGCTCTCTTTCCGAGTTTCGATATTTCTTCAAGAACTGTCTTATAGGAACTGCTAAGACCAGATTGACTAAGAATATCAATGACACGAAGGGTATCACGACCAACAGTGATTCCATCATAAGTGTGAATTGTTGGAAGAATAGTTGCTAGCAATGTAGAAAAGAGAGACATGTGTTGGGCTTCATATGCAGATGAACTAGAAACCAAACCAAGTCCCAATTCCTCAGCCACAGTCAAAGCAGTTGCGTAGTCAGTAACGAGGCCAGTAGATCCCGGTGCATAGTCGACGGCCGCAACGTGGGCAACAAATGGGTTTGCGACAGAGTACAATAGAGAAAGTTGATCTAGAGTTGAGCGCAAGCTGTGCAGACTGGAAGAAGAGGCCAAAAGTGATTGAGGAATGTGCCTTTTGGTCAAGTCAAAATCCTTTGAAAACATGTATCCAAGAGCAATTGATCCAGCGCCAGAGCGAGTTTGCATGGGAGAAACTTGTGTAGTATAACCATTGGCATTCTTTGTATTTGCCGCAGCCCAAGACTTTACAGCAACATCCAAATCAAATGATTCTGGGGAATAAGAGAAGATCTTATCGGAGAGCGCATATGCAACTTGTTGAACCAAAGTCTGTGCAGTAACATAGGTAGGACCACTGATCGCATCGTATTCGATCGATTGTCCAAAGGGAAGATTGGAAGACTTTTGGGAGAATGTTCGAAAAGAGGACTCATGTTCGGAATTCCAGGTAGAATTGAGGGTATCTTTTCCAAAGGGTTTCTGCAAAGAGAATGATTAGACACTTCTAGATAGTTCATATGATTGCTGCTTTGAATTACCTGTTTAGATCCATCACCCTCTGGCTTAGTGTTTATGCCTTTGGTTTGATCATAATCTGTTGATGCCCCCATTTCTGCGGATTGATGGGTGGCGGGGTATCTTTGAAGAACTTTTGACAAGACAAGAATGCAAATAAAAGAAAGGAAATCTCAAGACAAATTGACTTGATACAATTCTTCTAGAAAGAAGAGAATGAGTTTGTTGTAAATAAGGTAAAGACAACAACAAGATACTCAATCGAAGGAAATATTAACCCTTCACAACTTAGCTTTGAAAGGGAAAGATTTATTAGTGTGAGATATATATAATCTTTTGGGCAATCAATTGGAATGGAAAAACCGAGATTCCGATGTATCACCTTGGTTAGTAATAATAAGAGGGTAGGAAATCGAGTCAAATCATATGGACTTTGACCATTTGGAACTGGTGAACCTACCAAGAGGATCTTTTCTTTCTTCACTTACCGTATCAGAAGGTTGATATTACTGAATGAAGTGAAATTTGGTGAGAGCACGAGAAAGCACGCAATCACCAGCAAGCTAAACGCCTTCGACTAAATTATATACCCTTGTCGAGGTGTGAAGGAAGAAAGTTTAACCGACGCCGATAACGGTAGCCAATAGATTAGATTTTCTTTATTATGCAGTTCTCCAGTTCTCCAGATTCTCCATTGTGATGCTATTTTGGGAATTTCAAATTTTTTGTTGTTAACATTACCTACCTATTGTATCATTCAATAGAGTTGATGATATTGACAACTTCATACCCAAGTAACTCTGTCAATTGAGCATAGATCAATGTTGTTTCTCCCTCTAAATGCGTATAACTCATTCATGAGAAGTCTAATGGCCAAGTCAGAATGTCATGGCTTCAATTGGACATGCATGTTGGACTGGTAACAAAGTCTAAGGAGTATGGGTTTCTTTTTACTTCACAGTCTATATGTTTGTCATTCTTCGAAGCGGATGAATTACAAGCCACAGACACCCTTGAATCGATTACCCAAACATAGGTCGACAAAAGGAATATGAACAGCAAGTGAGTTGTGCATCGAAGTCGATGAGTAAATACACCACAAGATTCCTAGGAGCTTCATGCAAGGAGTTTGGAATATCACAAGGTATCAAGTATGATTATACCACTTTCGATGATTTATGGGTGTCTGTATGTATCTTCAAAAACATTGTTCCTTGTTTCGAACTCACAAGAAAGTCATCAAGACACAGATAGATCAACACACTCAAGGTCCGTTACTTATCATTATAATACATATAGCTAATCCATCAACTGTGGAAACCCCTCAAAACTATATTATACATCGCACCTGCGAATTCATCATCAACCTCTATTCATCATCATCGTAACTCATTACTTCTTCTCCGTAGCAGGTCTACTTGGCCCATCAACAGCCTTCTCAACCTGTCCAGCGAGACCATCTTTCGCGGCATCGAATTGAGAACCGATAGCACCATCCTATTAACAAATTAGCTATTGATGCGAAAAGTCCCGCATACGATTGAAGACTACCTTTGAAAATGGACCACCAATCTTCTCACCGATTTGTCCAATATTTCCATCGGGGTTGAATTGTTTGCCAACAGCACCTGCAGATGAAATGACTGAGGGGTTCTAGATGTCTGAGATCAGCTTGCCGTAGATATCTATCACAGGAAGCAATTCCAATACTTACGGATGGACTAGTATCTTTCTTTTCACCCGCAACTTGGGAAGCTGCTTCAACACGACTATCGGCCATATTTCTGGAGAAGAAAGTTGTGGAAGGCTTGAAGATGGCGTTTGTGGATTGGGAGAAAGTCTTTCTGGAGATGGTGCGTAACATTTTGAATGATTTGTATCAATATTACAGTAGAAGTAAAGAGGATATGAACGAGATGTATATTCTGCAATCAACATCTACTCTTGAACATTCCTTTTCTATACCTACCTAGGGAATGAATTGACACCGTCACACTAAATCATGACATCAAGACTACTAGGTCATAACGCCACGATGAGTGACGACCAATCTCAACCCAAAGGAGAAATCTCTCCTTTCAAACCTTGTTCATTTCTGACTTCTTGATGGACATACCTACTGGTACACACATACTTCGTACTTCCTACACGCCATTTATTGTCTCACAAATCTATCGTACAGCAAATGATATTCTAGTTATGATATGCGGAGAGCGGGAATGTCCCGTGTGTACTAGGTATGGTATGTATGACTACATGGGCAGAAATGCGATCTCCAATCTATGGGAAAGTTGGTAATCCTACATCTGAGTATCTCAATGCTCTGATTCTACTAGGTACTCATACCTAGGTTCAGTACATATGTGCAGTATAACAATTGGATATGAGTATGAAGCTTCTCCAGATTCTCATTACCCCATACAGGAGTTTCTTCTCCGAATACAAAGTCATTGGCTTTAGTGGTAGTAGGTAGTAGATAGTAGATAGTAGGTGGGTAGATACACATTCGCTATCATCGTAATTATGAATCCCATACTATTATCTATCGATATAGATATTCAAACACACAATCCATCTCATCCGCAAAATAAACTTCCAAACAATGATATAATATAACACCGCGTATCAGCATATATCCTACACCTACCCAGAATTCTTCAATCGCACAATTTGTATTGTCTATAATCTTAACATCCATACAAGTATTATAATCCCCATTCATTCATTCAATCACTCAAACCCAGAGGCAAAATATAAATGTGGGGTACCTAGCTCTCAGCTCCTAACGACAATGACGTCGTCATTTTTCCACACACATTCATTCAATCTGAAGAGTGCAGAAATCTTGTCTCCTCTATTTCCTAACATATCTAGAATCCACAAACAAACAAACAATTGAATGAATAAATAAACAAATACGATTCAATCAAACGCGATACAAATCAATCAGACTTGATTTAATGTAAGTTGAATTCATATCAACTACCTATATATATACCTAGTATTCTTTGAGAGTATACATGTAATTCAGTTCCCTTCTATTGAATTCTGAATACATGAGAACACATCTGATTCCGAGCACCAAGCTAATTCAATTGCTAGATTTACCTCACAATTATAAGAAACATCATCTAACAAAACATCACAACCACCCAAACCAAAAATGTCTCCAACTCCCTTCCTCCGCCTCTCAAACATCACACGTACACGCATCTCCCTCACCCCACGCACACTCCTCTCCCAGCAACCCCCTATTTCCCTCACCACCCGTCCCTTCACCAGCACACCCATTTCTCAGCTCCCCCGCAAAGATTCCCAACACAAAGACAGCATCGACACGACGGCGACCGAATACTCCAAATCCGGGAATGACGATGCCGCGGCGCGCGAAAGATCCGCCGCTTTCGATCCATCCATTACGTCTCCTGAATCTGAGAGAGCCGAAGCGGGGAAAGGGGGGGACGGTAATCCGTTGGATGTGAGTCCGGCGAATCAGGAGGTGAGTAAGCCGAGGGGGGAACAGGAGGGAGGGGCGGAGAGGAGCCCGGGAGATAAGAATGTGAGTGGGAGGAAGGGGAGTGGGTTTGGGGGGAAGTAGAGAGGAGATAAGTGATGATTGGGATGTGGTGGGGATTGGAGGTAGTTTGTGTATATGATTTAGGAGATAGAAAGGGTGAAAGGAGTGAAACGTATGAAAATCGATTGTAGGAATCTATATCCAATAAATGAATCAGTAAATTAATTCCTGAAAATACATACACAATAAACCTATCCAAAGTGGCACAAGACACGACCGCTCAACACAACACAACACAACACAATACAACCTTCCACCCAAAAAACCAAAAACCAAAACTCCATCCATCCAAACAACCCTATCCCCATCCCCTCACTCCCCCCTCCACTCCATCTTCCCCAACCTAACAATATCCCTCTGCCCCAACTCCCACACCCTCGGAATCTCCCCCTCTCCATCCCTCCCCCCCATCGCCCTAACCCCCGCCTCCACCGCCGCCCTCCCAATCACCCTCGCATCCTGGGCCCAAAAATCCTGCAATCCAGGATTCACCCAGCCCATCCAGCCCGCCACCTTCCGCGCCACAAACTCCACCGGGCGCGAATCCTCTCTCTCGCCGACGATCAGTCCAGGGCGCAGGATAATAACATGTTTTACCTGATTTTCCTTGCTTTCCAGGAGAGCTTTCACCGCATCTTCCAGCTCGCCTTTCATTTTGGGGTAGGGGAGTCGAGAGGAGGGGTTGGCGCCGTGGGTGGAGATTAGGATGTAGATTTTGTTGGGTGGGGTTTCTTGGGTCTCGGTGGGGGGGTCGGTATCGGTGCTGGTCTGCGAGAGAGAAAAAGTAGATGCGAGCTCGAGATTTAAATCATAGTCGATTTTGCGCTGCGCGTCGATACTCCCTGCCTGGGCTTTTGTGGTTCCGAGGGCGGAAAAGAAGAGGAGGGGAGAGGGAGAGATGGAGGAGAGGAGGGAAGCCCATGTGGCTGTGTCTGGAGAGGTGAGCGGGTGGAGTTTGGGAGAGGTGCTGTTGGGGTTGGGAGCGCGCCGGGAGAGGGAATGTACGCTGGAGATGGAGGGGTGTGAGAGGAGAGTCGAGAGGATGTGGGTGCCCTGGGTGTGTTAGCATGTTTATGGTATGGTATGGTATGGTATATCAAGAAGCGCGAAAGGGAAGAGGGCAGACAGAAGAAGACAGAAGAAAGAAAGAAAAAAAGAAAAAAAAGGGAAAGATGTACATACGACAAGACCGGTACTCCCTACGATAGAAGCTGAAGCCATTATATTATATCTTCAATCTTCACTATCTTCCGTATTCTTATCTTGATACAATATACAGAGTATATCCCACTCGATATTCTAATATCTCAATATCCGAATGCGATATAAAGCCCACCATATACATATATATATATATATGTATGTATGTATGGTATAACCTTCCAACAAAGCCAACAAAAAAGCAATCAAATTCTCAAAATCTCAAATTCTCAAATTCTCAAAGACAATCAATCAATCAATGACAACCCCCAATTCTTATTACTCCAGTATCCCTCCCTCCGAGCTTCCCTCTCAAAAGCCGAACATGCCATCCACCATCTCATATCATCCTATCCCATCTCCACTCCCTTCACCCCACCCCAGCAGCTGGAATGCAAACCTTGAAACGCTTTGTTCCTAAGGTTCGCCACAAATTTTCGGCGATAACGATACCTATCTACAGATGAACCTGGATATAAGGGCCTAAAAATTTCGAGGCCTAAATACTCGCTCGTATATAGAGATTATTCGTATATATAATTTCAGCCTTAGTATTTAGCCTCGTTTTATATCCTTAGCCTTTTCATTTTTATCAAATGTTTTATATGAATTTATGAATTCATTATATTATAAGCTAAAGCTTAATGTCACGGGGTGACACTAAGCCCTTTCTGTCCTGTCCTGTCCTGCTATATATGTGAGAGTAAGGTAGAACTTCCAGTTCTACCTCCTAGTCTTTTGGGCGTTTAGCTCAGCGGTAAAGCTTCTGAATACTCCCAGAGGTGATCCCGTGACACTTAATCTAATATTATTAATTTTAATATTTTTCATAAAGACTTTAGGAAAATCAGAATCATATACTCTTATATAAAAAAATACTTATTTAAATCAATTTTATTATATAATTTTTTGGGGAAATCTAAAAATATATTTGTATAAAAAGAATACTCGTATATTATATATTCGTATATTCAGATTATTTATATCTTATCTTTCTTACTTAACTACTAGATATCTTTATAGATATATAATTATTCTTTATTTTTGTTTTTGATTAATATAATATAGGGTTTCTTCTTTTACAGACCTTATCTATCTATTCAACTTATCTACTCGACTTAACTCGAATAATTAAAATCCAAAGTTTTTACTCTATATTTTTAAATAAAGTTTGAGGTTCATTAGTTTTGAAATCTATATTATAATTCTATATCATAATTCTAAGGTTATATCATAGTAATTCCAAAAATGAAAATGAAGATATACTCCATGCGGTTTGTACCCATCCTAATTCTCGAGGAGTACAGAGTTTGAGTACACGGAAACGTCGTGATGTAGTTGGTGTATGTGGAACATCGGAATGAGTAATTTCTGAGATGAGAAATTCTAGCGATATATACTGGTCAACGGAGACAAAGATTCAATGAGAGCAATATACTACTCGAATATTTAAAAATCCTTTTCATTTCTCATTTAATAGCCATTTATCATCATATTTCCATGCAATCCAGGAACCCCATAAGAAATGCTAAAATCCCCTCAGAGCGCCCAGTCTCCATTCCGTAACCCAAACCAACCACAATATATCCCAAATCTAGCATAAGATATTTTCTATCTAAACCAACAATCGTAATCTAACCATCAAGAAAAGATCTTACTTTACAGAAATATGTTACCACCTTCTACCATACAGCGAGTCTTCTACCTTTTTCGCTTGAAAAGGAGTTGGTGTAATCTTCCTCGGTGCCGATGAACTTTGTGAACCATAACTATCCAAAGTCGCTGCACTTTTACTTGGACTTCTACTAGCAGATTCCTTCAAGATTCTTGGCTTAGCACCAAGATCATATGCACCAGCAGCAGGCGGAGCATGCTCAGCATCTCTTCTGAATAATTGAAGAATCTCCTTCATTCCCAATTTACCAGCACCACCTTTACCACCTTCAATAGTTTGATTTGCAAGTTCTCGTTTCTTCTCTTGAAGAAGTAGAATTCGCTCTTCAACTGTATCTTTGATGGTAATCTTGTAAACAATAACATCAATTTTCTGTGTAAGACGATGTACACGATCGATGGCTTGTTCTTCAACGAACTATGAAAGTATGTGTTAGTAACTATGATCATCAAATATAATATGAGCATCGACAGAAAATTACTTACGGGATTCCAGAATGGTTCAAGGATAACCACACGAGTAGCAGCTGTAAGATTGAGTCCCAGAGAACCACACTTCAAACTACAAAGTAAGACTCTGCAATTCTCGTCGTTACGAAGTCTTTCCAAACTAGCCTCGCGAAGATCGTTCTTCATACCACCATCATATCTTGTATATTTGTAACCCTTTTGGCGTAAGAACGGTTCGACAAGATCCAACATCGATGTGAATTGCGAAAAGACAATGAATTTATGCTGAGCGGCTTCTTTTCCGAGAATCTTCATTAAATGTGTAATCTTGGTAGATGCAGCAATTCGAGAAAGTTCAGCATCTTCATCGGAACCAAATTCGTCTTCAACATCGGATTCCTCCTCCTCTTCTTCAGAAGACTCATCATCCTCTGACTCCTCGGCAGATTCTTCGGTGCCTTCTTCATCATCACTATCAAGATTGACGACCTTCTTCTTGCCAATATCTTTAATGTCAGGGAAAGAATCATCAAGATCGTCATCATGATCCGAATCAAGCCATTCACCGCCGCCTTCACAGTTCTCGTCTTCCTCTCCACCAGCCTTGCCTAGAGTAAGAGCACCACGTTTCTTTTCTCCGACAAGCCATTCACCTTGATCTTCCTCTTCCTCGTCATCACTGTCTTCGATAATATTCCTATTCCTGGGTTTACGAATTGGAATAGGTTTAGCCTCCTTTTGTTTCTTGCTCTTCTTACTCTTTTTACTCTTCTTCTCCTTGATCTTCTTCTTTGGACTAAGCTTCTTGCCGGATATCTCATCCAAATCTGCTTCACAATCCAAACAGCGAATGGCGCCTTGTGAAATGGCTTCTTTACCAAGATCAATTTGGCAAACCTCACATTTCTTAGAGCCTACACCCAAAGAACCGAACATATCAGCCATCTCATCAACATCTGTCGTTGATTTCGATTTAGGGTTGCTGGTTTCCGCTGAAAGTGCATCGGTATCTTTTCCCAATTTATTTCCAACAAGTTTTGGATGATTACATGCTTGTCTCAAACGCAATAGCAATACCAATGCACTTGCGTAGTTGACTTTACTTCCACCCATCATCTCTTCAATACTAGCATCGGTACGCCTTTCCAGTCTTTCATAAAATCTACGCTCCTCTGGTGAGAATTCCGCAAAGACCTTCTCAATTTTACGCTCGACGACCTTGAAACCTGTTGAATTGGCTTGCCCAGGAGCAGAGGGCTTTCCTCCAGGGTTGAGGGCTCCATCCTTCTTTAAAATGTCCTTGGTACGTCGCTTCATGAAAATCTGCAAGTAGTGACGAAGACGCTTAATAGCAACATCACCCCTACCATTCTTCATTGGTCGATCGATTTGATCCTTCCATTCGCGAAGGTTGTCGTAAGGTTTGATTCTCAGGAATTTGATCAGACTTTGCAATTCATCCAAATTGTTTTGCATCGGCGTTCCTGTCAAGCACCAACGGTATTGACTTCTAAGTGAATAACATGCTTGCGTAGCTTTGGCATTTCGATTTTTGATAGTATGGGCTTCGTCAAGAATGACTCTGTACCAATGTATACCAAAACAGCCGACCTTAACACCTTCATCATCATCATCCTTAGACGAATTGCCCCATTCTGAAACGAGGATTTGATATGTCGTAATAACAACATCGAATTTTCTGAGATCTTGAAATCGCTTCGTACGTTGAGGGCCATGATGGACACAAACACGAAGAGAGTGACTCTCTTCAACTTTGTCTTTAATTTCGGCTTCCCATTGTCGGATAAGTGCAAGAGGTGCAACAACCAAAGTGCATTTATCCAGACCTGAAGGTAATTTGCGTTTACTGTGGGTTTCGTCTGAACTTGATGGTTTGGGATTGCTCAAAATGAGTGAAATCGATTGTAGGGTTTTTCCCAAACCCATATCATCGGCGAGAATGCCTCCTTTCGGTACCATGCCTTTCTTTCCTGTGCCGATTTCTCGACCAATCATCCACTCCAGTCCTTCAACCTGATGCGGGAGAAGTTTTACGTTGATTCCTTCGACAGTTCCATCATCCTCCTCGTCCTCTGATGCAACTTCGAGCTTCTCCTCTGATTCAACATTCAATCCATCCATTTTTGCCATCAACTCGTCTACTTCCGCATCCTTCTTCTTTCTGCGTGATCTCGTTCTGGGGTTCGTATCTTCCTCATCCTCAATAACACCCTCTAGAAGTGCCTTTAGATCTTCTTGTGCCTTTGCAGGATCAACATAGGTGTGTGGTTCATTGTAATTTGGCTTGCCCATAGTAAGGTCGATATAATTGCTAGATGTATAGGTATTTACGGATTGGAAACCACCCCCATTGCTGTTTGGAAGGGAGCCGAATGTCGGTGCAGGTGCAGGGTGAGTTGTTGCATATGATGAAGAGCCAGGAATCGGTGCACGAACTGCTGGCTGACTGTATTCCGCTGGTGCTCGTGGCATAAGGGGGTTGATAATCTTTCGGGCAACATCTTTTGCTGCTTGCAAATGTGGATGTGCTACGTAGATATTAGCACCGTGAGTTAATATGGCACATGAACACATACCATGTCTTTCAGGATCTTTATGAAATTCAGGGCGGGATTTTGGTTGAATGAATAATTCGGAGTATTGTTGCTGCGATTTACGATTCAATGGAGACTGTGGAAGTGTAGCTTCTCCGAATCTAGGAATACTAGATAGATGATTTGCTGTATTGCTTTGTGAGGGTCGATATTGATCCTTGGGCTCTTCAGGTCGAGGTGCCTGCACCTTTGCTGGAGATATTTCCCTAACCATTGTGTTTGCTTTCTCAACAGGATATTTGTCGTATTTTGTAGTGTCTAGCACAACCACAGTTCCTTTCCTAGTCGAACCTGAATTGGATGCTCGACCAATTATTTCGAGAGACGAATCAAAGAGTGCAGTTGAATCACCAAGGTCACTCAAGGATGGGCTATTTTCCGTCACTGGCGAAGAGAGAGTTCTTCTATGAATTTGCGGTAGACGGATAGCTGGTGATGTTGCTTTCAAAGTGTCGACAACTCTTTTGAATTTGTGTTGTTGTTTGGTATTTGTATTTCTATTTCGACATTTGAATTTTGGTGTTTCCGTTGATCCAATGGTATTTAGCGGGGTGAATCCACCTCTGGTTGCTATCAGTAAATAAAATTCGAGATGGCCCTCCACCTTTGGAAATGTGGATATATAGCTTACTTCATGAGGCTCAATAAGACCTTACTATTATTTCAGATTATGCAGATATCGGTGATTTTGTTTATAAGAGGGTTTATCACGTAGAGAGGCGCGTCAAATTCCAAAACAGAGGAAAAAAGTGCAAAATCATGGTTGTTGGCATGGAAACCTTATCACCAATCAAAAACCACTTTACACGACCCCACGATAGAATCACAGTATGAGATGGAAATTTATGAATAGAGACAAATCCAAATGATACTAAACTTTATGCTTCTTTATTACAGTATCCATCGAATAATCTTAGTTTTATGAGTCCAGATTCCTCAAATCGCAGAAGATCATACAATAGGGAATGTACCTCCCGGTGAGCTCCAGCGCTCACTCAGACTTCAACCTCTGGGAGCCAGCCAACAAACTTAGCATAACCAAGTTTTGGGGCATATTAGTCTGATCGTTGCCTCTTCCGATGACGAGGAAACCTCAGTATCACTTCTGGAGGTAATATATATGGTGGAATAGAGGCGGCGTGACTTCGTTCCTAATACAATTGCACAAGCTATATACGACTCCTGTAATTCTGAACGGCTAAACAGTAATATATGTGAGCTCATGAGGTGGATGTATATGTTGCTTGCAAGCCATAGACAAAGAACAAGTCAAGTCGACCATGTCTGGCTTGTCTAGATAGATTATGATGATAATTAGCAGATACTAATGGTCAATATATGTATATAAGAAATAAATGGCATGTTGTTCGAGTAAATCTCTTTGATTATTAGTGTATGGGTATCATGAGCAACAAGTTTCTATACAATTTAATAGCATCGGGCTGTGAGATTTTATGTTGCAACCTCTCCGTCCTCCATTTCCTCATCTTCATCTTCATCCTCATCCGAAGAGACATCACTAGTATCATCTTCGGATTCCTCACTTTCATCACTTTCCACCTCTGGCCCGTCTCCCGTTGCTTCTATGTAGGCCTTTTCAAGCATAAAGGTTTCTGGGAGTTTGTCCGACTCAAATACATACAAAGTAGGAAATTCGAGAACTGTGCGATTCTCCAAGACTTTGGAAAGTGGCTGTGTGGGATCTAAAGGTATCAATACTTTAGGATATGATGATCGAGTCTTAGGCCGATGGAGGTAGAAACGATACTGGGAATCAAGCTTTGGTGGTGCATGAGTTTGGCGCATGGAATTCTGGTTGTTTGATAAGATTGGCTGATCCAAAATTGTATTCCAAGCACCATTCGAATCCTGAAATAAAGAAAGCGGTGATACATCCAACAAACATTCATCTGTCTTGGTCCTCTTGGCTTTATTTTCTTTCAATTCGTCTGCCTTTCTTTTTTTCAGGGCTGCCTTTTCTTCCGGCGCCATGCTCAACCTTCGTTGTTCTTCCAAGAGCAGTGAGTAGGTGTCGTTAATGGACCATTTGTCTATCGATTTGTGCAATATTCTTCCGCCTGCATCTGCCTCTCGAATCCATTCTATCTGCCAATTCATACACTTCTGCGATCTACTCCAACTAGATGTATTCTCCAAATTCCTAGACATTCCGCTTGGCGCTTTAACTACCGTTATTCCAGAACTTTGTAGCATTTTGGTGAGAAAGTCTTCACGCTGGTTGCCTCTGCTTTTGTTGGGTCGTCTTCTATCATCCTTGGGCCCTTGCCTTGCCAACTCAAGTTCCATTTTCTTTACCAGTCCTCGCTCTTCCACAATCTCCTTTTCCGATCTCTCAATTCGATGTTCAATTGAATGAAGAAAGTTATAATCATGATCAATGCCTGAAGGAGTTGCCAATTGTGACCTCGGTTTGTAGACAGTAGGATCGCGAATACCAGAGCATGTTGACCAGACTTTGTGACGCTTGGAGCAGGGAAGTGAACATGTTTGTTGAGAGCACCGTGGACATGTATATTTGGTAGGATTAATATGACAGATGCGACATAATGATGATAAAAGAGGATCTGACATTGTCGAGGAAGAAATATGTTGATATTAATGTTATAGCGATGATAGATGATTTTGTTAAATCTTGTTAGGTATCGGAAGACAAAATTATTATCGTAGCCTTGCAGCTAGTGGGGATTTTTTGTGACTAGCGCGAAGCCATCAAAGCTGGACAAGGCTGGATTTTCATAATAGAGCCTTGATTGGCCGAATCGATTTTATTATTCCCGGATGCTCCCAAATCTATCTGACTGAAAGCTCATAGCTCATTCAAACGATATAATCTGCGAAAGGCTTACCAGGGACAAATTACCACTTTTTGTCCCGGTGAGCTTGCCCAGTACCTTCATTTCAACCCTTCTCAATGCTTGAAGCTTCTTTACTAAGATCAGTTGAACCTTGATCCCTCTACTTTCAGTCACTAAGTTTGTGGATTGCTACCAAATCGACAAGTGACTTGCAACGAGTAAAATAAAAGCTTCGATTATACTAGCTCTCTCTATGAATGCTCAAGTATGTGTCCAAGTACTTCTCCTTTCTATGATATTCCCCCACACAGGAATCCCCAGTATCCTACTTCAGTCATTACAACTCCGTCGACCACATACCTAAAAGGTAGACCTCAAAACACATATCACGTTTGGCTCCATTCTCGCTCCCCTCGACGCTATATACCTTGTTTCCTCCACAGGTCTTGAAACTCCCATGTCCCAAACGACCGCCAAAAGAAGAAAAGAAAAAAACGAGCAAAAAAAACATACAACAGTGGGGATTCGCTGGTGGTCACCCACCCAACTACTAATCCACCGATCTGAAGCTTGTGTATGGCAGAGCGGACGGGATGCCCAATTCTCTTCAGTCTATGGTCGTATGTGACAGTGAACGCAATTCTAGGAATTATATTTGAAGTGGAAAAGGAAAGGATAGAGTCCGAGAGGCACTATGGGGAAACATGAAGTATCAAGGGCTGATGTGAAATAATATTAATGCTTTAGATCTTCTTCCAGATTGGGCTTTGTGTGGGAAATACACCAAACTGGCAAATTATGGAACAGTGAGGCCATCTTTGGGATTCTGACCTTCACCAACCTCCGACTCAACCCAACTTTCCTGGAACGAAAGGATGACCAGCACTAAGTCCTCCATCCACAGCCCAAGCTTGGCCATTGACATAACTACTCTCCTCACTTCCTAAAAACAATGCCACCCTAGCTACCTCATCGGCATGTGCACCTCTTCCTAGCGGATTTAATTGGCCAATCTTCTTTTCCGATCCCCTGGCTCGTGCAGCTTCATACATAGGTGCTGTCATACCTGTTTCGATGACGCCAGGACAGATAGCATTGACGCGAATTCCAGTGCCTGCTAGTTGATAGGATATCGTTTGGGCCAGGGAGACGACGCTAGATTTGGAGGCAGAATAATCGCTGGACCCTGCATTGGAACGTAAACCAGCGACTGAAGCTGTGGCTATTATACTACCAGATGGGTATTGCTTCTCCGGTGATGTTAACATCATAGCTGGTGCCGAGTATTTGGCCGCCATTGCTACACTATTTTGGAATTAGTACTCAGTCTGTTTCTAGGACAGTTGTAGATATTTTACCTGACAACATTTGTTCGTAAAGTAGACAGAAACTCATCTGCAGAAATATCTGTAAATACTTTATTTGTGCCTACAATTCCCGCATTTGCAAAGAAAATATCCAATCTTCCATATGTCTTCACCGCATGATCAATAACTTCCTTTACGGATTGTTCATCCGCTGCGTCAAACTTCCGCGTGTGTACTTCGACATCAGGGTATAATGATGCAAGTTCACGTTTGTGGGTTTCGAGATTCGTGTCATTGTAATCGCATATGTATACAGCTCTTGCGCCATTCTGCGCAAACTGATGTGCTGATGCTCGTCCAATTCCCAAAGGACTATTGGTTCCTGATGAATATGTCAATACTACAGCATGTGGTCTGGAAAGGAAATAATCACCTGTCACAATGACTACTTTTCCCTTAACTCTCGGGCCCGTTGAATCTGGTGCAATTTTCTTAAGAATTGGGATATTTTCAAAGTTACCCTGGTCTTCAATGGGTTTCACAAGCTGCTCGGAAAGTGCTGCGAGTCTTCTCTTTGCGGATGCCGACATATTGGGTATTGAACGATTACGGTTGACAAAATACAACCCAAATCCAAATCCTGCTTAGAATTCAATAACGAAACAAGGGAAACTAAATATTCAAAGAGGAAGAGAAATAGAAAGAGAAAGAGAGGATTCAAAACTTCAACTACCTAGGTAAGAAGAGAGACATTGTTTCGATTATTCGAGTAGGGAGTAAAATAACAAGGCGGGGGAATCTGCAAGTATTCCCGAACAAAGTCTGGGGTAAGGTAAGATCTCCCATTGCCTCGGCCCTCGCCGCTCTATGTAAGTATGTAAGTACTACCTAGGTACACCAGTACACCAGTACCTAGGTAGATATGTAATGTAAGATGTAATGTAAGATGTAATGTAAGATGTAATGTAAGATGTAATGTAATAAGTACTGGCTCTGGTACTGCGCTTTTGAAGGTATGAGAGTATGTTCGTTTGATTTCCAAGTTCTCTTGTTTTACTTTGAGCTCTGATCTTTTCATCGAGCGCTTCTCCAACTAGGTACCTACCAAACTACCAATACACAGAAAATCCTCAACTCAATTGATCCTTTCATCACCTGGATCCGCCTGGTCTCTCTTTCAAATGGTAATCTACCTACCTAGCTATACACAATGTGAGCGTCTGCATATGCGATCACCAAAGGAAAGAGTGGGATTGAGTGATACTCTGTAACACATGGTGGTATCTATTAGCAGAGAAGAAAGCATAAACCCAACAGAAATTCATATGCGCCATTTCCAAGACAGAAATTGGCTCATAGAATGCAGAATTACGTCTTCCGATATGAAGAGAACATGAATCGTTGTTCCTATTCTATCCTATACTGTATATCTTCGTGGGTTGTATAACAATTGATGAGACCTCGTCGAATCTATATGTGAGTTCTTTTTTCTTGCTTTTTTTCCCTCTTAGTTTGACTTGTATGTGTATGTAACCTTTGCTTGTTTTACATATTCTCGATTTTTTTTGATAGTGCTCGGTGTTACACAAAATACGCGAGTTATCAGTGATGATGATGTCTCGACCTTTATTAACAAAAAAGGCATGGAGCGACTACGAATGTAAATCAACATTATCTGCTAATTCCCATACATTACACGGTCAATTTTTCTTATTACAAACTCCAGCCTTTACGGAATCTTCTTATGTTTCTTCCCCTTCGCAATCTTTTACAAATTCTATCTTGAGATTTCAAGAGGAAAGTGAATATAATTGGAACAAATGGGAGGATTCATTTGTTGATATCAACCACGATACAGTAGCGATGGAAAATGATATCACGGGGCATCTTTCCAGGACAGCTTCAGCCGCCTCAATGAGGAGTCAACGGTCGCAGACAGTACGCGGAAAGTCACGAAGATTGGCTTCGCAAATATCGAGTTCCGCATCATCGATATCGGATAAATCATTAACTTCATTCCCCTCATTCTCGGGTGATTCGCCAACACAAGAACGATCCCACTTCATACTACCTACCAACGATGGAATCGCGAATCGAAAAGCTTCTGCCGCAGCTTCAATTGTCGACAGCTTAACTACATCCTCCCCTTCTTTGCACAGTCGTTCGGCCTTGTTCGATGATGCACCATTAGGCTCCTCTCAAGTACCTGGATCAGTGCATCATGCAAACGATGAACATATTGAGAGATTGATAGCAAGGAATGGAGCTGTCAAGTTGGTCCGACAAATTGCAGAGGATTTGGCTCGACGAGATGCGCAAATGGCTGCTCTCAGACGCAAAGCAGAAGAAAGAGAGAGATCATTAAGAAAGATTATTTTGGAATGCGGTTTATCAAACCTGGACTTGGAAACTCGTCTGCGGGCCATCGAAGGCGAACGCAAACTCTCGGGTGCCCCAGCTCCACCAAGCGAATCTGCGTTGGAGGACTTAATGAATGATGCTATGAGTGAAACAGTGGTCGCAGGTGAATTGGATAGTTTGGAGAATGATGCTACAATACGCGCCAAAGAGCCCTCGCCAGGTAAATCAAATACTGGAACGTCAAGAGGATGGAAGGATTATATTTGGGGTGGGACAAGTAAGACAAGTCGTACAACAAGCCGGGCAAGCAGCATAAATGGAGATGTGATCACCAACGGCGCAACCGCTCATGCGCGTAGTGGGGGCCCAGGTCGACGTACAATTCTGCAAAATGATATTTTCCACCCACCAGATGCTGTATCCTCCCTGGAAAATTTGAGCCGACCTCCCAGCAGTGGTTCAATAGCTGGCAATCGACAAAGGAAACAGTCTAGTTTAGCAACTTTGGCACTAAAGCTTGTTGCCGGTACAGCGACTGTTCGTGATCCGGATGGTAAAACAGATCGCGGCAGATCGAACAGTGCCGGAACTGAACCATCAGGTCGTACCCCTTCTAGAACTAGTACCAATTCCACAACGTCTGCTCGGGCGGTACCAAAGATGAACCCTAGAGCCCTTCGCAATCCTACCCCATTGACACAAAATACGACTGTTGCTGCACAGGAGAGGTGGGATACGATGGGGTCTAGTCCACAGGGCTCTAGTACCACGATTAGGGAGAATTTTGGTCCCGTCGAGATGGATACAATTTTAGCACCAGAAGATCAGCCACCAACCTTGATGCAATATAGAAACTATAATAATCCAGATTTTCTGACTGACCGATTCGGATTTATATATGATCAACGACGCAAGAAAAGACAAAGAGAAGCCGCTGAGAGAATGCGAAAAGGAAAGAGAGGTAGTCGCGTAGAGATGCTTAGTGGAGGGAGGAGTAGCACTATCTCTGCGGCAGTGACTGAAGGTGATGATATCGATGATCTTCGGCCTGGTTCACCCGGATCTACAGCAACTGACGACAAGGTTGATGATGAAGATAAGCCAGTCAAACGTTGGCAAGACTATCTCAAAATAGCCACATTTCCCACAGAACTGCTAGCTCATACACCATCGGGTAGTATGCCTGCCTTTGAAGTCATGGAAGGAGGCGAGGTGCCAAGATCTCCTGGAATATTAACCGAAGAAAGAGGATTTGTTCCTTTGGCGACTACATCAGCCCCTGCATTGTCTATCGCATCAGATACCGCCACAATCTCCAAGCCTACGCCCTCAACGACTTCTACACCAGATCCTACACCAGAAGATACTGAACCTGTGAAACTATTGCTACAACAACTGGGCGAAGTTCATGATTCCCTTCAAAGAGACAAAACAGTAAGATGGAACGATTTCCTTCGCAAAGTCAGAGCCGAACGGAAACGTGAAGGCGAGGCAGCTGCTGCCGCTCTTGCTTTAAATACAGATTCACGATCCCATCGACCTATACCAGTTATGCCCGAGGCAAGCTTAGCAGATGGAGAAATGATTGGTGTTTCTGGTTTGGGCAATAAAGGAAAGGTTGGCCGTGCTAAGTGGAATGAGTTCAAAAATCTGGTCCTTGGTGGTATTCCAGTAGCATACAGAGCCAAAATTTGGGCCGAGTGCTCTGGAGCTTCTGCAATGCGCATCCCAGGTTACTATGATGATTTGATAGCTCGTAGTGAGGAAGATGATGATCCGGTAGTTGTTGCTCAAATCCAAATGGATATTAATCGTACATTGACGGACAATATTTACTTTCGAAAAGGTCCCGGAGTCGCTAAGCTCAACGAGGTACTCCTAGCCTACTCGAGAAGAAATCATGAAGTTGGATATTGTCAAGGAATGAATTTAATTACTGCATGTTTACTGCTTATCATGCCAACTGCAGAGGATGCTTTCTGGGTCTTGACTAGCATCATTGAGCATACCCTACCACCTGGATACTACGACCACAGTCTTCTAGCTTCCAGGGCAGATCAACAAGTCTTGCGACAATACGTCTCCGAGATTCTTCCAAGACTATCTCAACATCTAGATGACCTTTGTATTGAGCTTGAAGCCCTCACTTTTCAATGGTTCCTCAGTGTCTTCACTGATTGTCTATCGGCCGAAGCCTTATTCAGAGTATGGGACGTCGTGCTCTGCATGAATGATGGTAGCACATTTCTCTTCCAGGTCGCACTCGCTCTATTGAAACTAAATGAACAACAATTACTTCAATGCTCGTCGCCTGCAAATGTTTACACATACATTAATCATCAAATGACGAATCATGCGATCAGTATCGATGGATTAATCCATGCTTCGGAAGGATTGCGCAAAGTGGTTAAGAGAGATGAGATTGAAATCAGAAGAGCGAGGGCTATTGAGGCGGAAAAGGATTTAGTCAAACAACGGGAGGCAAGAAATGCAGCACGCAAAGCTGAGAGAGCTGAGAGAGCCGCGGCGTTAGGGTCGAGTCCGGAAATTTCAATATCTTCCCCAACTAAGGATAAGGATACCGGGAGTGATGAATCGGCCGAATTGACAGTTAGGTCGCCAATGCCAGTCAATGATGACGTGGATTAGACGGGGAGGAATGATTGCATCGAAGGGATGTTTCCAGCTTCGGAAACGACTTTCGGTGAGTTTGAGGGGTGGATATTGCATTTACAACGGAGCAGAGCGAGTTTGGGAATGATACCCTGGTTTCTTAACTTTGTGTTTCCTTTCGGGCCGTTTCTTTTGTTTTTGGATCATGGATGCTGGATGCTGGGGGCCGTTTCCGGGGGTAGGTAGTGAAGAATACTTGTACATAAGAGAGAAAGGTTCAAAAGGTTGATGAATGGTTGGTTGAAAGATTTTCTACTACAAGGAAATGATACTGAACAATACCCTTACACGCAAGCGTTAGACATTCAGTAGTATACAAGGAATTCAATAAAATATCATCAAATGGATATAGAAGCATGAGTTTAGGTGACGTGAATGTATGAGTGAGCTACTGTTGGTTGTATGGAATGATGGGATATAATAAATACAGTTGCTGATAATCATTTGAATACTGGTTCAGATGCTTTATATTTTGTGTAAAATGATTCATTCATCGCGACTCAAACAAGTAGAGTATAAATCACAGCTTGAGACCAAGAAAATAGAAAATAGCATGTATTAGAAAACTTGAAGCGCGTGAAGAATCTCCCATCCCATCATCCACATAATGAATGGGCGATCTGACCTCCTCAAAATCTCAACAGCAAACGCCAGCCTGGGTATCATAAAACCGCACAATCATCTTTCCTTTCCGCTCAATATGGCTACTCGCTCCACCGCGCATTCGCGTGTACCAACCATCCTGCCGTGCACATATCTAGAAACTGCGGATGTGTATGTATATATGACGACACATCATCATCATCATCATCATCATCATAAGCATACTCACAACCCCACACCTCCATCACATCCCCTTACTAAACTCCACTTTCCACTCTTCGCCATCTCAACTTAACCCTCTCTACTCCTCTCCTCACTCTCCTCCCTCACTCCCCCCTCCAACCCCCCCATCTCCCTCTCAATCTCCTCAATCTCCCCCCGTAACCTCTCATTCCCATCCATCAACACTTGTCTCAACTCCGCCTGTGCAGAAATCGCTTCGAGCGCCTCGTGCAACTGGACGAGTTGCTTTTCGCGCTGTCTCCGGAGGATTTTCTCGCGCTCGTTCTTGAGATGCGTGACTTGCAGGTGGCAGGACGCGCAGAGTTGGGGGGTTAGGTGGGATTGTGCTGGGGTGGGGTTAGTATGATAGATATAGATATAGAGAAAGAGAAAGAGAAAGAGAAAGATACAGATAGAGGGGAAGAGAAGAGAAGAGAAGAGAAGAAAAGGGATACACTTACGTCCTTCAATAGGAGGAAGATCTCCATCACAGATGGCACATCGCGGATCTTCGAAAATCTCAAACTCGAGACTAGAGCTTTCTTTGCCGCGGAGGGTGTACTGGCTATCGTAACTACCTGTTCGATGATCCGCGCGCGAGGGATTTTTATTTTTCGATGGTTTTTTGTGGGGGTTCTTGGGAGGTGAAGATGCGGGTGCGGATGGGAAAGACATTGTGGGTGTGGAAGTGGTTCTTGAGAGTACTTTTTTGCTGCGAAAGATGTCGAGCCATGAGTGAGGTTTCATGATTTTTGAGGCTTTTTATGTTGGGAGGGTGTGGGAATTGGAAGTTGGTACGGAGGAGTGAATTTTGTTGATGTGGTGATGTGGTGATGTGGTTTGTCGGTTACTTGGGATATTCGTAAATTTAGATTGTATGGATTCGCCCGAGAGGTATTCGGGTGCTGTGTTGGGGTCGTCTTTGGTACAGTGGACAACAAGGTTATTTGATAAATCAAAATAAAGGTCTTTGATTGAACTTTCTACAAAAATACAGTATGACATTGACGATGAGTGAATAAAGATGTTATTGCTCGACCACAACAATACCTTGTATTGAATTCATACTTCTCATGTGACTTCAAATTGAAGGTATACGGCTTCCTGCCATACAAGATAGTGAATTTTGAAGGTCATATAGAAGATGAGTTGTCGAAAAATTTCATGCTACATGAATCCACCAGAAGATTTAAGTCCATTTCATGAATGCCAGTGTTCGTTTCATCTTATTCACTTCATACAATTTGTTTCATCCATTCATTATCCCTTCTCCAACAAGCACATCGCGAACGGTTTCAAGTGGTGAAAGACTTGAGTGGGATAACAGAAAAGAAATCTGCGGACAATATTGATGCAACCTTTCTACAATCTCACTTGAGAGGTCGTGTTTTAGAGCCTGCGAGAAATATTGTGTTGGTGCTTTGGTATTACACTCTCACTTGAGAATTCACATTCTACAGCTTGCAAGAAATCTTTGTGTTGAGGTTTTGTTAGATTTTTGTATATCGTGAGGCATTCTTCCTCTTTGTCAGATTTATACAGAGTTGTATAGTTTAATAATGGCAATGTATAACAATATCATATGATTTTGGGGGGGACCGGAACATTTACCCTCCTCTCTTCTTGGCAAAAGGAGAGAAGCGAGGGAAGAAGGAGACAATCGAAGGAAGAAAGAGAGAAAGAAAGAGAAAAGAGAAGTCAGTGAAGAAAGGCTCTAAACCAATGTGTGCATCGCAAACCAAGATGGAGAATGAGACCTAGCAGATCGATGTGAGAGTGCTGGTTCTATGATACGTGCTGATGGATTAATATCACGAGCTTTGAGACTCATCATGCAGGATCCCTTGTTCTTCTCTCGTTGCCAGAGCCAATTGAGGGCAGCGATGATCAAGAAGTAAAGTGTAGCCGGTAGGATGGTTTACTCCGTCTCTTCTCAGACGGTCTGGCCCATTGCCATGCGTTCCATGCGTTCCACAAAACGAGATAGCTCGTACCTTACTCATGAGATCCATATACATACGAAATTAAGAAATTTCAGTGAACCAATCAATATTGGTAGATTTCGTATTTTTCTGATGTCTGTTAAAGTGTTTTCTTGGCAAGAACAATCAAATCGCGATGATCACATGATAGCGCGGAGTCCCCATATTATCATGCACGTCACCATCGTGTTCGTGTTCGTGCCGTGCCGTGCCGTTTACATTCGTGATCTTGTTTTTGTTTTGTTGATCTTACCTAGCGTTGCCAGGTTGCCACGTCAGAATATCTAAGTATCAATCTATTCATCATTCTCGTTTTCCCCAGGATAACTTTACGATTTGCTTTTTCATGGCTTTTTGAGAATCCGGTATTGGCAACCAGGGGGGTAGCTAGATCTTCTCCAATCATCACTCGGAGAAGCTTTAGGTGCAGGGTTTGTAGCGATTCATTGACATCATGATAAAATGATATCAGGACCATTGAGTTAAGCGTTATGGCAAAGTGCGCAACAATAGTGAACCTGCGAGCCTGCTTGATTGAAAACAAGGTATTGCTTGAATTGTTGCCTATTCAAATCAAGTTTAGCATCGTTCACTTACCCCTCATGTCGTTATTGAGCGGAGTTATGCTCCGGGGTGAAAGAATCAAGCAGGCAGGAGGTTGAAATGGCTATATGTACTTGGATATTTCCCATTCAAACACTTTTAAATCATTAACAAACATTTAACATCTTCCAAACATTCAAATAATTGAAACAACTCCAACAACATACCAAATAATACATTAACCAATCTCAAAATGAGCGAAACATACAAGCCAACTGGTAAGTTGTCCCTCCCCCTCTGTCTGGCATGAACATTGCTAATACCTTTATTAGAGCACGGAGGTCTTAAGGAGGACGGTACCCCAGACAAGAGAGTTGGAACTGGCGAGTTTGCTCACGGCCAGGTCGACCCAGTTGTAAGAATCACTCCTATTGCCTATTCAACAATTTGTATTCTTTATGTGTTTCAAACTGCTAATCAGTCTTCCCTCACCACAGGAAGCTGGAGCCAAGGGTGGATCTACCAGCGACGGAAGCACCGAGAGCCCCTCCACCACTGGCAGCAGTGGTAGCGGCAAAGGCGGTATGTCTTTACTTCGACATGCTTCTCCACATTCACTGAAATTCGATGCTAACCGTCCATTCCAGAATTCGCACACGGAAAGGTTGATCCAGTCGAGGCTGGCAAGAAGGGAGGACAAGCTTCTTAGATTATCTCAAAGACCCAGTGATGTCTGCACTTTGAGTGATGGGAACGTCGGCTGTGTACGGCGAAATAATTTCGGATATCCTATCAGTCATAGTTTGATGATGAATTATGATGACTGCGAAGCATTGAGTTAGCAACAATGATATAATTTCATAATATATTCTTCCTCGTTTCCTGAGAGATAATCATATCTTGATATTGTGAGATGCCTATATGTTCTGCGGTATCACATCCTATTCAATCCTCCCAGGTCGGTGGTGATGATTGTCATTCGAAGACCTGGTGCTGTATTTCATTGGCAGAAAACAAATTGAAGTTTACATCGTACCATATTAAATCCTTGAATGACGTTGATATCCACAATTATGCAATACATGTTGTACTCCGCGACTGGCAAATCTCTGGTTGAAAAGGTTTGGTCTACGTCTGAAGATGCTACAATCCCTACATAGCTACACAAACATTATCTCCTCGGTGACTACTTGAGGCTAGGACAAATCCGAAAAGGATACCAACACTGCAGATTTCATTTGTTGGAATGTCTGTTTGGTGGATTCCTTGAAATTTGCATGTTTTTCCTGCAAACGGCCGAGGCAGGCTTCTGCGGGATCTTGCATTACATGTTCTCGTTTGTTACCTAAGTTGAGTCGTTCAAGTATTTTCTTCTGGAGTTTTCATGTCCAGCTGCCCACTGGGGCTGATTTGCCTTCAACATGTTGCTTGAGATATTGGCACTGTGCTCTACTCTGAACTGATGAGTGCTGTTCAGAAAAAACAGTTGTATAACCGATTTCCCTACTACATGCACATCCCTACTATATGCACAATCTCGATTACCCTTTTTGAATAACTTTAAAAATTAATAACAATTCTAATTTATAAGATAAAGAGCTAGCAATTTAATTGATAAATGATAAGATACAATATTATCTAAAAATATAATAAAATCTTTAGATTTTGAATTTCGATAAAACTCGTAATACTTGCCTTCTATTAGATTACAATATAATCTCCTCCTTTTTCCTTTTCGAATTATTAGTCTTTATAGTATTAAAGAGCTCTATAGTCTTTATCGATATTAAATCTATAATAAAAAAAGCTTTAGAAAACTTTTTATTTCTTTTGATTAAAGATTTTATTGATTTTAGAGTCTTTTTAATTTCCTCTTTTGTATCATATACAATCTGATGATCAACTTCTCTTTACAATACTTTCTCTTTCGTTTCAATCTTTTTCTATTTCTTTTTAGCTTTCTTTTCAGCTTTTATCTGAAACTTAGCTTCTTTTTCTTACTCCTCTTTAAATACTTTATCTTCTTAATACGCTCTAGCTTTAATAATAACAAAAAGTAACTATAAAAATATACCATTCCCCTTCTCTCCAATAAGATTTAAATGCTTTGAATGAGCTCTTTTCTTTTTTTCAAGTTTTAGAGTTTTTTCTAAATCTTTAGATTTATATCTTTATATAGAAGCTTCAGCTCCTAATGTAGTTGTAGTCTTAAAAAGCTTTAAAATAATCTCATAAATAGAAACACAATGAAATTCTAATTTTATTCTATACATCGCTTTTAATATATACAATATAGCAAAAGCATCCCTATAAGTTTTAAATAATATAAGTAATATAAAAAAAGCTTTTAAAGCAATACAGTTAATCATAAGACTCCTATTTATAAAATATATACCCGTTTTTTCGAAGAATTATAAGATATTATGCCTTGTACAAATAAGTTTTCAAGTCTTTTTAAATATGTTCTAAAACATATGTTTTGTTATACCAACAATCCCCCTGTTATTGTATATCAAATTATTCAATAATATACTATAATTCATTGAAAAAGCATTAAAGATTTCAATATCGAAAGGTTATAATCGATATATAGAATAAGGAAAGAGAATTAAAATAATAATTTTTAATTCATTATATTTTGAAAGGAATTCTATATTGATATAACTAGAATAACCATCAACAATAAATAAATAATATCTTCCACCTACTTTTCGATATATAACAAGGTCGAATACATTTATAAATCAATATAGACCAAAAGTATTTAACAACCATTTATTGCTTGAGATTCCAAAATAGGCTTTATCCTTCTCCCCTATATCCTGAATCCATATATCTTGTAGATTCCCTAAGTCTTCTTTATAAATAAAAGCAGAAGGAAGAACTATCCCATTAGTATATATAGCTGTTAATAGGATAATAAACTCTTTTGATTTATTTTGCCTAACTTTTATCACTCTGTCTTTATTATAAACGCTAGTACTCATTATCCTCTTTATAATCCTCCTTATACCGATCATAAAGCCCTTCTCATTCCAATTGTATATATCTCTCAGCCATATATTGTATTTTATAGTTATTTTTATCAATTAAATTAAAAAAAGAGGGGTATTAACAAAAGCATTTTAGATAATAAAGATTAACAATAATAGAAAATAGCTCAAACCAGATTATAAAAGTAATCAAATATAGCAATATTATCAGCTTTCACATACAAATTATTAATATAACAGAGATACCGACTTTTAAGATATATTGAATGCCTTTTAACAAAATTACTAATCCAATTCTTTCCCACCTCTTTGCCTAAAATCTCTTTTACAAGGTTTCTGACTATACAGCTTGTAAAAAGGATAGATCTTTGTATTAGTTTATTGATTTGATTAATTAAAATCTCCTTCTAATTATTAGAAAGCATTTATTTCATATCAAAGAGAAACTGTTTTCTCGAAATAGTTTTATCTTTATATTGCTAGGAGAGTGTGGATCGATTAATTTTAAAGAAATTAGTTGTCTGGATGTATTTAGAAGCTTGAATCCCTTTTAAATGATCTAATGCAAGCTTTATATGAGTTTCTAAAGGTATATTATCAATGTTTGAAGTCATAATATTAATATTTTCAAAGTTGTGCATGTAGTAGGGATGTGCACATAGTGGGGAAATCGATTATCAACGGGTTTTGTGTAGCTTACCCCACCCCTTCATATCAATGAAGCAAACAACGAGAATCATTTGAAGATATGATATGATAAGAATCAGATCATGATCACTTTCTACACAAGAATTCAATAGGGTCGACAACGTGTTCGTGCAAATATCCGATCATGTAAGTGGCTAGTGCTATTATTTGTAAACGTGCAAGATATCCAAAAGCTGAGCAAATATTTGAACACTGCATTTTTCACAACATGAACAAAGACCAAGACGTTATACTCGGCCTTTCCTAATTGTCGTTCCTGAATATCCCCTCATTTCGTACATCATATACCATGTTTTTCAAGGTAGTAATCGCATGGTCAGGCACCCGAAGGAACATTCGCCATGCTGAAATTTGTGATAGATATGGGAGAGGCGTTGATATGGGATACGGCTGTACAGTCAGGGTCTGAATTTTTGATGCGGCTCAAAATTTTCATTATAAAGGTTCAACACCTCCATGAGAATTTTGCAGTTCCTTCTTCTTAGATATCATTATGATCTGGAATTCATCGCTCGATTTCACGATGCACACTTCTTTCAGACTACTTCTTCTTATTGCAGGAATCTGCATCGCAGATGTTAACACCATTACCACTTCATCAACTTCAGGTTGCAATGCAGATAATTGTTATCGTGCAGTTAGTGGAGACTTTCGTGGACCTTTTCAACAAGCTATAGCATATGATGATTGCATCAAGTACGTGAAAAACTTCTGCACAGTCGATATTATTAATATCACTGTTACATCTACCATCTTGACAACAATTACCGAAGTATCTACCGTGGGAAAGAGAGCGGTAGCAACAACTACCTTTTCACTTCCATCATACGCTAGTGCTTGCTCAAACGAAGCTCGTTATTCGAGTGCGTGTTCATGTTGGGGAATTTTACCTGACACCGTTACCGAAACTATACCTGTATGTGTGTTCTCCATGTCGGCCAAAATGATCTACTAATCAAACATCAGACATACACAACCTTCACTACTTCCACCGTTACCACCGGACTTCCTCCAGTCTGCCCCACAGGCAAAGCCCTCATGAAAGATGCCCTCAACTGCGGCTCCTGCGGCTACATCTGTGATACCGGCTATTGTGAACACGGCACTTGCAACACCATTCACTGTACTCCCACCAAATGCGAAGAAGGCATCAAACCATGCGCTGTCGATTCGACTTGTTTCTGTTTCAATACCATTACAGGCCTTGGTTTCTGCGGTGAAAATGTTGGATGTGCTGAAGCTAAAGATTGTTATGATGATGGAGATTGTCCAAATGCTTATGTCTGTGCTTGGGATACATGTTGTGGAAATAATGTTTGTGTGCTTGGGAATTGTCCAAATCCGGCGGCGAAATTGATTAGATCGGTGCAGAGAAAGAGAGATGCATTGATAGGAGATACGGCGGCTTATATGGCGGGTTGAGGTGCTTTTATGTGGTTGAGTGGGTGCGATGGATTTGCAAGTGATAACCTTTTCAGTTTGGTTTTGCTCGTTCGAGCTCGTTGTATGTACTAAACAACCATGACGAATTATGATTGATTGCAAAGCAGTAGATTGTGTTTTAATTATTGACCAAAAAGAACTTGTTTGTCGACCATAGGGACGGCTGCTCAATGTAGAAAGATGTCTTCCTGAAGCCACCTCTAGCGTTGTAGGATTCCTCGACTTCCTACCCTCTCCTTGGCACTAACATTATTGTAGAACTTTTACACCTTTGTGATCTCGCACATTCCCTGAAATTCTTTTGTTGTCTCCAAAGACCGGTTTCTAAGGACCATTAGCTAAATCTCTTCTCATCTCTATGAAGAGAACCCGGTATTTCTAACACAAAATCCAAATGTATTTCCCATCTCTCAATAGAAGAGTGAAGCAGCTCTACCACACAATTTTTAAGAAATTTGCATCATACCTTTATACATCTACTAATAGTCTGCAATCAATTTTCAAATAGAACATCCAATATTTAAACATGTCATGAATTGCATTTGGACTCAATGCCATGATTGAATTCGGAAAGTTCAGGAAATGGAATATTTCTCATTATGGATTGTGGTTTCAGCTATGGAAACATTTGTCTGGGCTTTAGGAATGATGCTCTTCCCAACGGCAGTATTTTGAAAAAAAAAAAAAACTTGGTAGTGAGTTGTTGACGTATATTTCTTGAATTGGTGGGAGGAACAGTACATCAGCGTCTGATCTCTTCATACCTAGATAAAGTAAAGGGATATCGCAAGTGAATGGGATTCTTAAGACAACGATGTTAAGCTTGATAGCAAACGCCTCTGGGTTTCACGGGAAATATGTTAAAGACTGTGAGGGACATAATGACTGGTTTATAGTGAGCACTACATAACTAAGAACTAACGTGAGAGGAAATACTTTTCGTGGTGATGATTCCGGTTTAAGGAGAAATTACTAAGAACTTGAATAATCTAACTTCAGAATAAGAATCATTACGCATCAAAGACAGGATGTCATTGTCATTATATTCTCGCTGCCATCATACGGATCAATCTCAAGCACCTAGAAATTCATCCGCCACCCCGCGATATCAAGATGCCACGTCTTTCTTTGTATATTCTCATGTAAATAACAAAGAGTTAAGCTCGATTTAAAGATCGCAAAGTTTCTCATCTCAATATCTACTCTTGCATTGCGATAGATGGATGGATGGATGAACAAATGGATAGATACATCATCACTTGCATGTAGTAACGCCCCAAAGTACCCAGAAAGTATACCTGAGCTCGCTCATCGAACATTGCCCACTTGAGAGGACATCTCGAACTTTTATTTGAAAGAAAACGCAGTAAAATACCATATCACGGTAATATTTGTTCCACTAGGATGTTCTTGAAATATGAGATGGACTTGGGAGAAACTTGTCGGGAGATGATCCGTTTCGACAGGAAGAAATTAGCTATAGTAAACGCCTCCAGAGACCGTACTGCAAGATCTGAAAAAAAACAGACAATCATATATACCCATCTAAAGTCAATATAGATGGAGGTATGGATGATGCTGTGCTGTACAGAAAAAGGCATTACTCACAAATTATAATATATACACAAAGTTCACCGCCCCATCATACGAAATCATAAGATTTCCCTGCTGGCGCAATGGTAGCGCGCAAGACTTCTATCGAGGACTCGATCCTGTAGATTGACATCTTGAGGCTGTAGGTTCGAGCCCTACGTAGGGAGTTACCCTGAGTATCATCGGTTTGAATCCATTGTCAGAAATTATTCTTTTTGCATTTTTGGTTGATTTACGAGAGGGGTTGTCGATAGGTGATTTCGAGGACTTTTGGCGACTTTCCCCACCCAAATCAAGGTGGAATGGATAAAAAGAATACGTTAATTCTACGGTAGAGTGAGTGATAGGTTTTTGATATCAGTCTTGACTCTCGAGCGATTCAAATTTTCTTTTGGGGTGTAAAAGGCCGAGTCATGGAGGGGTCTTGTTTGACCAATAGTTCGATGCGATTTGTACAGAGTCCCGTAAATTTTTTAGATGTCTACACAGCATGAACAAATCAAAATGCACAATCTTCTCTAGATCATAAACTCAATCCCATAACCCCACCAAAATTTCTTCCCTAAATCACACAAACTCGAGAGAAAGCGGGGTGAAAATATATTATCGCTCCACTGAATCCGCTAGCTATACTTAGCTTGTGCCCATTAACCCCACCACAATCTTATCAATTGTTTTCATTTCCAAAAATTATACAAAAGTGATAAGAGATTGATACGAAAAGTAATTGGCAAATCAAAAAGCAAAAGGTAACTACCTCGAGTGGACTCGAGATCGCAGAATGCGGCTTCTGTGGATCGAACACAGTGCCTCCAGATTAACAGATGGATTCTATTAGGTTCCTGAAGTTGACTTCAGTCTGGCGCTCTCCCAAGTGAGCTAAAGCCGCTTGGTTGTTCGTGTTGTGTTGAATGCTGGGCCGAAATTTGGCTACTTGTCTGAGATTGAGATTTGCATAGTTTGGAGAGTCTGGGGATGTGAAACTTTGTGTGGTTGGGTTGTAGAGTGATTGGATGGTTGGGGCGTGGAGGCGTTAGATGTGGGTTTAGCATTAGTTAATCCTGAGGCTGATACATGCATGGCATGCACGCTGATACTGGCTGCTGATATATTCGATATGTACTGTGTGTGATTAGGAAGGATATTATGGTTAAGATGAAACAAATTGTACGAACTCAATTCCATCTATTATCGTCTAATCGCTTCACAAAAAATCCGAAATCAGCACTTCAAGAGTCCTGCTGATCTATGTAGGTACCGGCAGGTAGTTAGTAAACTTCCTTTCAGTGTGTTTCGCAATTATATCTAGGTAGGTACCTAGGTATTTGGGTATATCTTCAGTTCTAAACACTAGCTTTCCTGCCTCTCTCTCTTCCCCAGACGATAGTCAGTATCTTTTCACCACAAAGTATGGTTTGAATGTTTTCACCTATGATCATGGTCAATTGACTCTAATCGATCAACAAAATGGTTCGTACATGACTAATTTTATGAGAAAGTATGATTTCGTGAATAGGTACCTAGTTTTGATCATTCCTCGAGACGGCAACTCAATTCAAATCATTGTCGGACCATTATTGGTGCTACATTCGAAATAGAAACATCTAGGTAGCCAAACTCGATGTTACAATTACAAAAATAACACAGGGCCTAATTACAGTTATTGTAGGCAGGTACGAGTACGGATGTCCGAGACCGTTGTTGGTCTTAAAACCGTAGCCCGTTATTCCGTTGCTTGTGGGAATATCTTTACACTCTCACAACTTCGGAAACTTATATCCCCGAGTACGTTCAATTGTTTAGTAAACAAATGAAAGAATTACAAGATCAATGGGGAGATTTCTGATGAGAATTTATTCGATGATTGTTGATATATTGTATTGAAAAGGATCGAAGATGAGAGAGTCGAAAGGGTATGGTGATTCTCTTGATTCTTTGCAGACCTGGCCTGGACCTTGAGATCATCCCAAGGTTGGCCGAGCACTCCGTGACTCCGAGCTTATTATGTTTGGAATCATGAATACATAATCGGATGCTTCTGTGGAGGTTCTAGGCCGGATGCTCCTTGCCGTTTTGGAAGGGATAGGGAAGAAAGGATTTAGGATATAGCGATTAGAAATTAATCCTACGAAGGTATATGGAATACATTTTGTTAGCAGTGTCGTCAGTCGATGAGTTTGCTTGTAGAAAGAGGAGAGGCAGGAACCTAACAACTCCACAGATGACCAGCTGTCAAACTTGGAGCATTAACTATATCCTTCCAAATTATACACAAGGTAAAAAGTTATAAGCAATAAACAAATCGAATCGAGCATCATCACACTTTTCTTTTGACTTTTTCCCCAGATCCTACCACCATAATCCTAAATGCAAACAATTGACCGCCATGAACACCTCGCTCAGATAACAAGCAATGAGCTTGTAATCCCTCCAGACCACAAACCCTTCAGTCCAGATCATCACCCTCGGATAGCGCCCTATCCTGGATTCATTTCCGCGAAAGAATAAGAAACCCAACGGTTTATGACGTCGGTCCAGATTCAGTACAGCCAAAATTCCCATTCCGTTTTAGACTGATGAAGGATTTGTTATTGATTGCGAATATACGTATGCGAGAGCCTTTACCTGTTTGTCCACATTAAGCAAATCCTTAATTTGAGTAGTACAAGTACATCGTACACAAGCCACCGCCGTGAATTCCGCAGTCTATGTATTCGTAAGTTGTCACGTGAGAGACACGGGCACAGCGGGATTTTATCCGTTAGTACGAGATATAGGGTTTGTTTTTAGGTACTTTTCGTACTTGCTCAGGTGGGCTTAAAGGTAGGACGGACCCCGAAATCAAAGTTTTGAAATGCCTACTCGTAGATTATAAATAAAATGCGTTATGCGCATGACTTCCGTTTTTATGAGTGTATACGCAGGATGCTATAATAGTAAAAGAAAATTGAAAGAAATTGAGAGGGGATTCATGTAGTGTGATGTGATGTGATGTAGGAAAAATTACAAGCAAGAAATTGTGGAAATGAAAAGCCATCGGAAATGGAGAGTGAATGGAGATGCCCCTTCATTTTTCGCCAATCTGTCTTTCTCTACCAGCCTTATCTCCACGAGATCCTTCAACAACACTTACAAATTATTTGATAAATCCTAGAAACCCAGAATTCCAGTTTATGAACAAGTAATTATCATCCGCTCTATCCAATAATCTTTCTCTGATTTATTAAAAACGTCAAAATCTCCATCCATATACATAAACTGTCTTGAAATACTTGGCAGATCATCCACCAAAATACGCACAAGTATTCGTATCAGATGAGGTGGCATGGGGCAAAAAATGATTACACCAGTGATCAGTGAGGTTACAAATTACTTTTTAGGAGTTATAGTACTTTAGGTAGTGATACCTATATGCAGGGTCTGTGAGGGGTGACAATTTAGGCTTTTGGGTGCTCCACTATGACAGAATTGTGTGAAGAGAAACCCTTGTTCAAACGCGGCTTGGTGGGCGCAAGATTTCTTTTTTCCCTTTTGACTTTACTCAAGGAAGCCGGAGTTACGACGCACATGGAACGGATGGATTTGAGTCAGTATGTATGTTCCAGTTATTAAAAGTGTAAGTCTCCCCTCGGGGTGTGGATGATCACTTGGATTGCTTTTCTATATTTTGTTGGATATTCGCTGTTTTGCTCATATACTATCTTGAATCTTTATATCTTTTTTTTCAAGGTTGTGTATGGGTCAGTCTATGCATTGATATTACTTTACAACTCTTCATATACTTTTATATATACAGAACGAATCATAGGTTATATATAAAAATCACCCAAATATCTACATTGAAACCCAACATTCGAACACAACTAAAGCATTACAACCAACAATCATTAGACAATGTCTACCTCACCCAACCCAAAAGCCACGCTTCGCCCCTCCAAATTCATCGAAGGACCTCCCCTCACCTCCACGGCCCCTAATCTCGCCCAAACAGACTCACAACTACAACTCATCCTCCTCGAAATGGATTCCTACGAGTCCTCCCACAAATCACCTCGCAAATCTAAATCGCGAACTTCTTCGAGTAGTTCTTCTAATTCTAATTCCTCACATTCTTCTCACATCTCTACTTCTTCGCTATCCTTCTTTACGAATTCTTCAAAACGAATGAGTCACGATTATTCTTCTGCTATGTCTACAAGCACTAAGATACTCAGCGGGGTGAGAGCGAGTATAGATATGAGTAATCCATTTTCAAGCTCAGAGTCATTGGGAAGAAGTAGAGGCAGTATCATTGAGACTATGAATGAATCGGATGAGGGATCGATCAAAGATGCACAGCCACTAGGATCGAAGATTAAAGGCAGACTGAGAGCTTGGAGCCGGGGGAAGGACGATGGATTCAGACCTTATGCGGGCACCTGAGTGAAATGAGATATGTTGGGAATAAGATTGGAATGGGTTACATTACGCAAGTTACATTACGAAGTTACACTATGATTGAGGATACTCGATACGACATGAGGTTATTTGACGGAACGAATCAGTGGCAAGATAGACTTTGTCAGATGAAGAAGAGATCATTTTTATGAAGGCAGAATGAAGAATACACATGCATGTCGATGCTCCAAAGAGGAGGCAGACGCTGTGTTGCAGTAGGGTTGAAGGGAATAGGTTAGGCAAATAGCCAACGCACAGCCATTTATGGAGAAGAGGTCCCGAGACAAGATTTTGTGGAGGGGGAACCGAGCACGACACGCGATAAGTCGAGACAAGTAGATAGACTGTTGCTTTGACAACAAAAATATCACGGAGAAATTGCAGGATAGATCAATAAATACATATTTTAAACACTTTATAAGTCGGTTAGTCTACTTTCGGGCCACCAGGGTTTTGGGCCACCTTTTTATATCAAAAATCACTTTTTAGACCTATTAATATTTCTATCAATATATAATATAATTTGATAAAAATTTATATATATATCATTTAGATTATTTCAAACTTATTCTAAATTTTTTAGATATTTAGAACTTTTCTAGATTGAGATTTAGAGCTTCAAAATATTGATTTTCAAATTTATATAGGAATTATATACAAATTTAGAATTTTTATAAAATCTTTAATAACTTTTTAGTAATAATTATTAAAAGAAAATTATATATCTTTTTGAAAGGTTTGAACTTAAATCTATATAGAAATTTAAAAAAAATAAAATAAAAAAAATTAACAGATATAGAGATATAGTATATAATAAATTTAGAGTAGTATAAATAATCCCTATTATTTTAAGGGTATTCTTTTAAATATTTATTTATAAGAAATTTTCTATTTTTTCTAAATCTTTGAGATAAAATATACTATAAATTTATAATAAAATTTTATAGTTTATTTTTAGTAATTTTTATTAAAAAGTTATTAAAGATTTTATAAAATCTTCAAATCTGTATATAATTTCCATACAAATTAAAAAATCAATATTTTGAAGTTTTAGATTTCGATACAGAAAAATCCTAAAAATCTAAAAATTTCAGAATAAGTTTAACACGATCTGAATTATATATATATAGATTTTCAATGAATTTTATTCATAAATAAGAAAGTTAGAAATTCCATTTTTGGTATAAAAAATAGTCGAAAAGTGATCCAAAACAGGGGTGGCCAGAAAGTAGGGTACCCGACTTACTGTGGTCCATATTTGACATGAGATGCTATGTTATTCACACATGCTACCGTTTTCCATATCTGATACCAAATATCATGATTCATGTATGCAGAAGACTCATCGCATCTCAAAAGTTCAAATTGGGTCGAATCTTCTTAACTCCCCCAAAATCCATCATGATCACATGGCGCCACCCAATCTCCTATTTTCCCACCACCTCGAAACCACCGATCTCAATGGTCAACGCGTACAAAAAATACAAAAACACCAGGTGACTTTCAATATTTTACCACCCGCAGAATCCCCAACTATTTTCAGCAAAATGCCTTACCCGTCCCTGCCTAGCTTCATGCGTGCCGGTAGTTGACGATAGGATGAACCGAGGCCCAATGAAACGGGACGATCATCCCCAACCTCGTGTTTCAAGCACACGAAAAACTAGTGATTCGAACGATTCATTTCTGAGATACATCTCTTACCTATGCACGTTATCGATTTAGGATCTGCTTCACCTTCTTCCTGCAGAAGAAATATCGATTGTCGAGTCACTCAAAATTCTATTTCAATATGCGCGTCCCGTACCCCACAAACTCTCACATCCGCGCTTGGCAACGTACGTCCCGGTTTACTCAACACTGCTACCGCGTAGCTCGGCTTCTCTATTCGTTGTTGATCGTTCTGCCGCAGATACCGCTTGTATTTCTCTCTGTCTTATTCTCTCTTTCTTATTATGGTCGTCCTCATTGGTCCTTCACATACCGTGCCTCTCTCCTCATCGGCTCCCACATAGCCTGGTCTCTAAATCCTGGCACCCAACCCCTTAAAGATGTTCTCTCCTTTCCCGCCCGCTGTTCCATCCCCAAACTCACCGACGATCAAAGTGTACAATTGGAGGTCATACCACCAGCAGATGAACCATGGTTTAAGGGCGATGCAATACATCCAACCATCCAACCAGAAAGTTGTCCCTGTTTCTGGCAATGGACACGGGATCTTTCTCCTCCCGTTGGCGACACCTCTGCCCCATTATCACAGAGGAAAATCATGATGTATTTCGTAGGTGGCGGAATGGTACAAGGCCATCCGCTTACATCTTCTATTCCCTGGCGCGTGATGCAGAAAACCAAGATCCCCATCTTCGGCGTCAACTTCCGTAAATGTGTAACGGCCAAAACGGCATTTCCAGCAGCCTTGCAAGATGCATTGTCGGCGTTGCACTTTCTCCTCGAGATGGGATATCGTCGGGAGAATATCTCGATTATGGGAGATTCGGGAGGTGCGGGAATTGTGGTTACGCTTTTGTTGTATCTTAATAGGTATAGTTTTCCCATGCCGGAAAACGCGGTGTTGATTTCTCCATTTGTGGATTTGGCGTCAAGGTTTGATGGGAAGGGGATGGGAGAGGAAGAGGAGAGAAGTCTGATAGAGTTGGATTTTATGAATAATGCAATGTTTGCAATGGTGGGATACCAGTACTGCGAGAACAGGCCGGATTTGAGAGAGACGCTTTTGAGTCCGGCGAGAGGGATGTTGCCGGAAGGGTATAAATTTGAGGGGCTTTGTAGGTGTATGGTTGTTCGGGGAGATGCGGAAGCTTTTTGCTCAGGTATGTATATGTTTTAATGCTTTTGTATGAGTGATAACTGAGTATTGATGATATAAAGGCATACGAAAATTCGTCAATCATCTACGCCAAGCAGGTGTAAAGGTAGAGGCGGTGGTTGGAAAAGATGAAGTTCATGATTTTCCCATCTTCTCAAAAGCTGATGGATCGTACGAGTTTTTTGGGCGAGTCGCAAGGTTCTTGGAAGGAGATGGAATTTATGATTGAGCGAACTAGGCTTGGAGTGTGCGGGAATGTATCTGATGGGGGTTGAGGATTAGAGGATTGTTGGGTAAGATATGGGCCTGATGGCACGAGGATATACAATATCAAATGCATGGGCAGATTTTTTGGGACGCTTTGGACAAATCACTTAGGGAAATTCTACCACAATGGCAAGCCAGCGAAAAACTGTTCAATCATAGTCATTAGCAAATTGCATGATCACCAGTACCAAAGTTCACTCATAAGATTCAACGGAGATTAATTTCTTGATAAAATCTTCGATTCCTAACTAACAATTCACGCGTCAGTACGTTTTTCCTGCGCCACAAGAGTTTAGCGGAATCATTGCCAGCCCGAAACCTGATCGTCCCGGAAAAGGTTAGGTTCGTCCATATGATTCGGAAAGCTGGTTAATCACAGAGACTAGCTACGAAGTTTGGATGGCAGAAAGAAGTTCAAGAAGAGAAGTGATAATGAGAGCCAACATCAAGCCGAGAGGGTACGTCTGGTAAAGGCTATTCGTTATCAGGTGGGAACCAGATGAGAGGTTTGTCGTCAACGTTTGAATCGGAAAAGGGAAACGGGAAACATTTATGGCCCATTCGCTGGAAAGCTCTGGAGGATCTTGGTGAGTTATCGTGGTAGAATGGGTGAAGGCTTTGTGGTAGAAGGTCCATGAATGATTGAGCCATAGTGGTGAGTCTTTTGTTGGCGTCTTGGTCGATTCGAGTCCTTCTCCTTTGTTGAAATGCTTTGCTTTGCCCTCCTAGGAATTCGATAGTTGACTTGATAGCATGAGAACAATTGAAAGATGATTTTCGGCAATTGAATGTGCTATATGGCGTAACTAATGTGTGGAAGCGGTTTGTACTTGAAACGAAGAAATGGTCATCTGCAGCGGTTGATGCATATTCTGAATCGTCTCATTTTCTAAGACGTCTACAAAATCAGTTAGCATGAGCAACATCGATAATGAAAGCAACGTTGGAGCTACATACCATTTCTGCTAGCGTATTTGCTATGCCATCTCCTGAAAAAAAAAATGATATCCATCGCGATATGCTGGTGTCGAATGCGGTAAAGGGTGATGCTTTGAAACCGAGATTTTCGGTGCGAACTTCAAGGCCTCGAATAGCCTCAATCAAATGTAACTTCTGGACCTTCTGTTAACCTTTACAGTAACGGCTAGAATCCACATTTCAAATCACGTTCATCCTCGGAGGAGTGTCGGATCGCGCAATGTGGCACATTATAGGTTGTTGACGGTAGAATTTCTGTCGGTTGATTGAAAGTGGGGAGGTGGTAGTGGCGAAAACGACGTTATGGCGAAGACTTACTTTTGACGTAAAAAGAATCTGTAGAGATATAACCGGCGTAGTAGCTGCACTTACCCGTATGCATGCATCTCTGGCTGAATCTGAAGACGTCGAAATAAAGGAAGATCGGCAGCTAGGAAGAGGAAAAAAGTGCAAGAAATTCCCATTCCCAGCCGATTGAAGATGAGTGGTTGTCGCGTGGAGGCTACCACCAAGTAAACCAGATGATCGAGATATCTGAAAACTTGAAAGCGCTTTGTTCTCAAATGTCGTGGATCGAATGGTTTATTGGTAAATAAGCAGAATTGGCAGGATAACGACTGGAGAAAAGGACCGGCGTGGAGTTTACCCCTCAAGTCCTGTTCGATCTATGATCTCTGAAGACAAATAAGGTCAACGTCTTCAAAGATCATAGATCGAACAGGAATTGAGGATGTCAAAACTGGAGAGTGAAAGTTGTGATTGAAAGGAAAGGAAAAATGAGATTGTGGAAAAGAAAATTTAAAGTCGTTAATGTGCGTTAATGGAAGCGAGAAAACAAATCCAATTCACTTGTCTGTTTATCTACCCGTGACAATTTTCTCACGCTAAATTAAGCGCAGCTAATATCAGACTTCGGATTGAAAGTGAAATTATGAAGTTTGGATGAGTACTGGATGTCTATTCGAACTCATTTCTTCCTTTCTCTGTGTCTTTGTCTAGTGGAGAAGAGATAACAGCATACTTCCCGCTTCCCACAAGACTTCCCTCCATCAACGCCAGAGGCCCTTTATCTGATATGAATACAACACATGAAAACATATAATCCCTACGGTATTGGGGGCGCACGTCGCACACGTTATCTGGAGCCCTTGTGCCTGCGAGTGCAGATCCGAAGGAGAAACCCCTTATGACCTTCTCACTTTTCAATAGTGGCTTGTTCCTTCTACCAGTCACTTCTCATCAGATATAGAACTCACAACTTGGACCACACTCTGAGAATGAAGACACCTCCGCAAGCCCTCATATGGGATTGTGCACGTCGAAGTACAACCTTCGTGTGAGATCCTATGTCGAGCAAGTGTGGGGATTTTGAAAATGGAAAAGATTGTCTGCTATCTGCGGCCTTTTTCCACTGCTCGAGCCAATTGCACAACCTTTACGATGAGGTTCGAACTATGGTATGATTGGAGCCCCGAGGAGGAATCTCAGGCTATCCCTAAATTTACTGCTTGAAATACAGTTAAAAGGTGATCATTCTGTATCTTCGTCGCCTGCACTCACCTGGGGCCTCATTGCTATGGCAAAGCTTGTCATCACTACCCAGGTTGGGAGTTGGCTCGAACTAAGAGAGCGAGATGAAGAGGAAGCGAGAAGTGCATTACTACGAGAGAAAACGGTTATACGATGAACAGCATAACTTTGATGGCACGAGTAAGCAGATACAGCTTTTGCCTCTCACTCCTAATGATTTATGGTATGATCAACTTATAACACATGCTCTTCGACGGACATCTTCTGTAGACTATCTCACATTCAGACTGTACTTCACTTATTGCATAATATAAATATATTTAGAATGCAAAGCATTGAATCTGAGACCGACAACATGCAAATATATATCTATCTACGTAGGTAGTAGAACGTTAACTCAAAATCGATGAAGATGAATGTGGGGAGGCATTTCGACCGCAAGCAATGATAACTTGATGTCAGAGTCAGGTCACGTGCATGTTCTATAAGCAGCCCGTGCATAAGAACTTTTTCTCGGAGCTACCTAAATTGAAATCCCATAATACTTCCAAGGTTACTGTGGATAGAGTTTGAGCCATATGAGATTTCTTGAGGCAATGGATGGACACCCTCCCATTCTCACCCAGCACCTCCTTCATTCATAGAAGGTGTGCGAAACTCAATAGCAGGCCCACTCGAGAACAAGAGAGCACACTCCACGCAGCCCCTTCCCTCCTCACCCAACACCTCTTCAATCATATAAGTTTCGATCATAAAACCTTTGACCATACGGGCAGAGCTTCAGCCAAGCAAAATCATTATAGTATAAAATCAGCTTGCTTGAGCTGTGGGCACTTCACTTGATTTGAAAAATCAGTCAAATTTTCGAAATGCTGGCGCCCTTTCACCGCTATTTATTTACAGTCCTTGGTGCAAAACATAGTGTTTTAAACAAAGTCGCTACCTATCATCGATCAACTGAGAGATGGTGCATACTATAAAGGATGAGACCATCACCTAAAATGCACTAGATCATCCATGGTTTTTAGTCAAGGATGACAGGAGCAGGCATTGCGCCTGGCCATCGATCATAAAGCGGAAGATCGCAGAGGGCACACTTTTCTGAATTGGAGATTGATAACAGATTCCTTAAATCTAGAGCCCTTATGCTTTGAACTTCACGTGAGGTTTCATCTCACTTGTCGACATGATACATATTTGGTAAAGTTATTCATTCGTTGGTAATGTTTTGCAGTTCATGACTTCTATATCAGACAGCGAGTAGAAGATCTTGTGGAGTGGATATAAATCGGAGATATAAAGGGATCGAATTTCTCTCCGCTGCAACCTTCCTTCTACTTTACAACACTTCCAATGTCTCTAGTCTCTCTAGTCTCTCTTCCCGTTACTTCAAGATGTCGTTGTCCACTACACTCAATTTGTGGCCCACCCAGAGCTACGTTACGGTCAATTTTCGACCTCCCACTTTCGATGTTACGAAGACGGGAGAAACTCAACCAGGCTTGATTCTCATCAATCCAGTTCTGAACGACTTGAATAAGTCCGATCTCAACGCCGCAGTCTCCGCCGTTGGATCTGTTCAAGCTAGTGCATGTGGCATTTTTACTGAGGATGGGCAACTTGTGTGGCAGGGCCCATATGCTTTTGCTGAAGATTCCACACATCCTCCCTTGTTTAGTACGAATCTTATGGTTCAAGAGTACATGGGCAAACCTGTGTTGACATACTGGCAAGGTGTTCGTAAAAGCCACGGTGTTGCATATGGAAATATCACCATACTGGATGATACCTATACGCCAATCACAACGATCTGCCCAAAATTAAATCTCATCACTTCACCGAGTGCTAATTTGACGGATCTCGCATGTTTTGGCGATTGCCACGAATCATTTATTACACCTTCAAACACCCTAATTGTCAGCGCAGGCAACATTACAACTATGGACCTTAGCCCAATTGGTGGTCCAAGTGTTGGCTATGTGTACGACTCTCAGTTCCACGAGATTGACATTGCAACCGGCGATATAATTTTCAGCTGGAGTTCTATTGCCTCTGGTATTCCTATCACATACTCCAAACTTATACCAGGCGTTAACTCTGGAACTGGTTTAAATTCGAGTGATCCTTTCGACTGGTTCCATATCAATGCTGTATCATCTGTTGGAGATGGATATCTTGTTAACAGTCGTCACTGCTGGGCTACTTGGTATCTCAATAGTGCTGGTGAGATTCAATGGCGAATTGAGGGCAACAACACCGAGGGACAAAGTGATTTCGTGGTTCCTAAGGAAGCAAACTTTGTAATTGATTTCCCAAGCCATCATATGTCATCAACTAATCACAAATCAGGAATGGCAACATCATGCTCGCATCAGCAATTACACCAACACAAGTGCCGTCCTTCACTACTTTAACAACCACTTCAGTGAATTCTCAGATAAAAACGTAGCCAGCCAATCCAATGGTCTACAACTCTCTCTTAACCTTGTAGACAAAACTTTAGTCGTGGAAAAAATTCTCAACGATTCTGCCTACAATGATTTCAGCGGTTCTCAAGGAGCATTCAGCCCACTCGACAACGGCAATACATTCATGGGCTGGGGTGCCATTACTCGTCTTACTGAATTCGGTCCCGATGGTAATGATGACGTTCGTCTACGAATCCAATTCGGCTATGATAATACCGCCAATTCATATCGCGCCTACAAACAATCCTGGAACGCGACGCCACCTTGGAATCCAGATGTCGTAGGAGTTAACGACACCGCATACATGAGTTGGAATGGAGCAACCGATTATACGGCTTGGGTTATATATACAGGGACTAGTGAGAGCAATCTCGTGGAAGTGGCTACTGTTCAGAGAGGCAATCTTTTCGAAACTAGCTATCCTATTAGTAGTGAGGCTCAGTATTTGAAGGTTGCAGCGTATGCTGGAAGTACTTTTATGAGAAATTCGTCACTGGTTACTGTGGAGCCTTCCTATTAGCACCCTATTACATCATAGAAGGTAATAGTGATGTTGAATATAAATCTCAAAGGTCATGAATATAACAAGCTTTGATAGAGAAGTCGAGAACCCGGCTACTTTAAGTAATATATTAGACTTCGTCACTTTTCGTACTTTACTTCCATGCGAATACTGCATTTCTCTCATTCAGATGGGTTTCATTTGGAGAACTCTCACAAAAAGAATTTCATCCATACACATGGACAAGAAAGTCATCCCCTTGATGATCTACCTCCCCACACTCCAATGGTTACTGTCCCAACCCTTAAAAATGTTTCACCTGACTCAAGTGAACACAACTTCGGGCGCGTTCGGGTCAATCAGGATACACGGAACCATCAAAATTTGATGTCCTACCTGTATTTTCCCAAGGTCGCTTTTAAGTTGAGATTGTATTCGGATCGTTTTTTAGAAGAGAATAGACCTTACTGGCTTCAAAATTCTTCTTATCAAATAATATACTCACAGAACGCGGATTGAGACAAACATAATATTCCGCTGAATGAATTATCAAACAAATGAAAGATCATCAAAAACAAGTTCAAGTATCGAATCGTTCGATTATTTAACCTATCAAATTTCATTCTCATATGCAGGTATCAGTAGCTCGAAATGACTAGTTTGTAAATTAGGAAAGCTACTTCCTTCTCTTGGAGCTGCTGAGAAGTATTTATATAGTCCTTTGCGGGTTGGAATTACCTTCTGATTGGGGCTTGGTACTATGAGGATTAGTTTCTGCGGTTGATTTCGTGTGGTCAATTGTCCATAATAGTACGTAAGTGATAGCTGCAGTTCGCGACACTCGAGGATCTGGGCGAAGAATACCAAGCGCTACTCGAACCCCATGTCTCAAGCTCTACTCCAAACATTCCGTTCTACTCGACTGTGTTGAATGAGATCGTATCCCAGAAAGCAAGATTGGACGCATCTTACAGGCGCAAAAAATGGAATCTCACGTTCTTTTCAATGCTACTATGGGGAACTTATTGTCAACTCGTTCCTCTAGAAATTCGTTTCTTGAGATAGGAACACACTCTGCCAGATATTTAGGCGCCGCCAGCCTGATGCGATCTACATACCCACATTGGTTCGAGACGAAAGTGACACTACAAGTTTGCTCACTGCAGCAGGTAATTTGTTTTTGAAGGGACTAACCATCGATTCAAGGTCCATAAACTCTAGAGAATCAGTCCTTACAAACCTTCCAACCTACCCTTGGCACTACGAAGAAAGCTACTGAGACGAGAGTCGACTCCTTAAAGACTGGAGGTTCCGCAAGTTTTCAAGGCCAACGGAATCCAGACCCTCCGGGAATATGATCTCCTCTAGACTCTAGAGTTGGCCATTATCAAATCCAAATTAATTTCTCAAGCTTCCAGCTTCTTTGTAGATGGCTACGCCAGCGAGAGCCATATTGGAGATTTGCAAAACGCTGTACAGTTTCATGATGCGGCCAATTGCGGAGATCGATATCCACCAGTCGTTTAGAACGCTTGGAGTTGATTCGCTTGTGGCTATTGAGCTGAGAAATTGGTGCACGCAGAGAATTGGCGTAGGACTGCCCGTGCTGGAGATCATGGATGAAGCATCAATTCAGAGCTTAGGAGAGATGGCCGCGGGTGGATTATTAGCTAAAACAGTGGTTGTAGAAACAGAGAAGAGCACTTAAATTGGCACCTAGGGAGTGCGGTGAGATGCTGTTGTAGAAAACATGGTGAAGTTTAGCACCAGAATCCGAGTAAGCAGATCTGATTTGGACAAACATTGTCTGGTACACATGGGTAAAAAAGGAGCATTGTTTATTGTAGGCCGTGGAGAAGTGGAATATTGAGTTCTCGCTAGATCGGTCCATAATGCAATGATTGGTTGAGGCAGATAACAGCTTTACCATACTCAATGGATAGAAGACAACGCCGTGCTTACCAGACAATCTTGTTTCAACAGAACATCTACTTTTCAGCCTTTCCTACCCTTTCATATCCCCGCGCGAAAGGAGACGGGGCTAGAAAACATGGGAGTTTTCCGGTTGATGTGTGAACAGGGTGTTAAATGGAACAAAGACTCTAGGCTACTTGTTAGATACCGTCTTCCACCTGGTGCTGACCACGAGTGTGACGTGAAGGGGAATCCGTGATTCAAATTGCAGGGAGAAGAACGAGACGATCTGTTCGGACTAAGGATTCGATACTGTAAATACAAGAGCTCTGATTCCAGCGAGAAGAGAAGTTTGGCTCATGTAATGTGATTTGATGTGATGGGATGGGGAAACATCTCTTTGATCCTATATTCAAGTCCATGGGTTTTCTATGATTCAGGGACGACTTCAACAACAAATTTAGAAGCGTTGCATCAAATGATATTGATTAAAGATCAAATACACTTGTTTATTTACATACAATTTTCTAGATATCTGTTCGAATTCATTTCTTCCTTTCTCCCTCTCCCTCTGTTTGTTGGAGAAGAGAAACCAATATATTCTCCTCTTTCTATAGAACCCTCATCCCTTAATGCCAGAGGTCTTTTATTTGATACAAGTACATATAAGCTCTGGTATAGAGAATACCAGTATACAAAAACATTCCGCTGAAAACTTGGCACGATGATGCAGGTTCTAATCACCGAAGCATGGAGTTCGTGAAGCACAGCAATCCATCATCCTACATGTTTCACCGCAGCCACCCATTCGATCTGTACATGGAATGTTTGTTTGTCACCACCCTGTGTGTAGAACTGAAAGCATTATTCTCAATTTATCGTGTGAAACCAAACACCGCATTTCCTTGCCACTATAGTCGTCGACTGCAGCATATGGTTAAACAATGAATATATAGCGAGCACAGGGACTACCACAACACAGCTTGTCCATTCGTTCATTGCGAACTGTTGCTTCATTGCCCACCAAAAAAATCTCCTCGTTCAATTTATTGAGTAGTACATACAACTGTGTTATTTGGAATTCGAGACATGAGCGTGACCGCGTTGATTGCTTCATCATTCAAACGGGTAGGATGGTCTTCGTTGTCGCCGTTTGATGTCAGATTCGCAATCGCATCAGTCAGAGTCGTCTTGTAAGGGAAAACCGGTTCCTTGGGAGAAACCTTAGACCCACGTGGCTTTGGTTTGAAAAGATTGGATGGCAAGAAAACCATGCAAGCGGTGGAAAACTCAAAATGACCATCGGAAGTCGAACGCCCAGTTTTTTCGCCGGGAATCTTCGTGCACAACCTTTTGCCCTAAGTGATTGTTGTGGGATTGATGGGCTTTTAGATGATCACAGCAAGGCTGCTGGTCACTCGAAATTGTTCTATTGTTGACGCCTAACAGACTCTGTCGATCCTGTTAGTCAGTAACTTGATTTGTGTGAGTGAGAACTACACCAATGGTGTGTTTGATTGGAGTGCTCTGACGATAGATTATCCACAGATTATCTGTCAAAGCCATTATCCGCTCCACGGGTGCCCATTGCGCAGCCTAGGCTATACAGAGAAGCTGACCATGGTTATCTATGGTTTATGACAGGTATGGGATAGAGGTTCTGACTAGGTATCCGCTGTGTGATATGATGATGACTTCTAGACCACTGTTATGGTGTGGGTTGGTATAGGATCGATGTTCACTTGTACGTGTATCCGTCGGTTGTTGAAGATGACTGGAATGCATTGGCACCGGTGCTGCATGTTGTAAACTGTCGGGTCTTTGCAGGTGCGTGGGAGTGGCTAGTTGCTGAAAGCTGCCAACTGAGCCGCAAGTTCCTCCCTCAAACAGCGAAGGGCAACCACGTCATGCACGATTAAGGAATTCATCGTCTTGTTCGCCGTATTGGTTGTCATTGCTCCCTGAAAAGGCCACAGCTGAAGAGCTTCGAAGCAACGAATAAAGGTAGCTAGTGAGGTTGCTTGAAAACAACAAAAAGTGAAACAAAGATTGGAAGATCGTACGAGAAGATTCGGACATCAACCCAGAATTTTATTTTGTTCGGTCCGATAGGCCCTAATTATTTTAAAACTGATTTTTGATTCATAGACAAAGAAAATCCAATGGACTAAATAAGCGAGGATTATTGTCGTCGTCGCCAAAACTGATATACTCCCCCACATTCAATTTTTGAATCCCGAAAAAATAAAAATCGACAACTACCTTACGTCCCTGTGAGGAACAAATTTGAATGGAATCGATGGCCTAAATCTACGCGCAACGGATAAAGCGGGTCATGGAAGTCGTTCAGAACGCAAAAAGGTAAGTCTCCCCCATAAGGCGCACGCGTTGTCGCAGAATCCCTCTCTCCCCACCTGTCGATCTTACTTTGATGGGCACAGCAAGCCTGAGATCGTCGCTATTGCTGTGGTGTAGAAGTCATGATCGACGTTCCTTATACATGAATTCTTGCATCAGACCTTGCCTCCACCCTTTCATGCTCAAATACTAATCGTCGTTTTCCTATTACAGCACGATGTCCGCTCCTACTTTGTCGCAAGGTCTGGCGGTCGTCGAACATGCATCAATTGCGTTACAAGCATTGATTCAACATGTTCCGTTGAATGAACGTGAAAGTGCGAAGAAGAGAGTACAATTCTTGACACGTTTGATGGACGAGTTTGTAAGTTTAGTGTCTTATCCTTGTGGTCTACCCAAATCTATACTGACAATAAATTCTTACAGGCACTCTCAAATCTCGAAGATTCTCCCGACATTAGAACTCTACATGCTTCGGTCGATGCTGTTTTTCATAAAGCTGAAGAAGATTACCATACTGCGACACTCGAGTGTGACGAAGTGCTCCGAAGCAACGACATCTTAAACAAGCTCATCACTTCCCTTGAGCATCAGAAGTCTTTGGTTAGAAAAGCCTTGGAAGACGTGCCAGTTTCCCATGTGAGAACGATCTTCCTCTTCAATTCACGTGAATGGATTATTGTGTATTAACAGTGATTAGTATGCCGTTGGTCAATCTGCAGACCCTTCCGTTGTTGATGTTCAAGAGTCTTCCAACGTTGAAATCGAGGCTGTTGCTGATGTGGCTGCTACCCATCTGCCTGCTGCCGACATGGCTGCTGCTGATCTGGCTTCTCTCGATCTACCTACTGCCGACATAGCTGTTGCCGATCTGCCTACTGTCGATCTACCTTCTGTCGATTCACCTGCTCTCGATAGACCAAACAATTTTTTATTAAAGATGTTTGGTGAGCGCCGTCATTCTAATAATCCTACCATTGACCGTCTTGCCCCCACTCTTATCAGAGCTAGCAAATCAGGTGGCGCAATTACCCATTTCGCAGCCCCCAGTACTGTGATCGATGTATTGGTGAATGGCACCCATGATAAAAAAACCAAAGAGCTTCTAACTCGTCTTGAGCGCATCCCTCAAGAGCTTCAAGATGAGGTCGGCAATTTGATCTTAGACCCTGCCTATTACTACCAGCGATATTGTCATAAGAAATTGCCTAGACAAGTGTCTTTTGGCACATCAGTCTATGAACCTGGAAAGATCATCAAGGTTTTCTTCACCACTGATGAAACATTGAAGATGGGAAGCTTGAGCGCTGTACAGGCGGACATGGACTCACAGATGGCATGCATTCCAAAGGACAGACCCACCTACCATCACTACATCATCTACAGGTCGGTGAGCTTCCAGTCCCTCTGGTTGATGGAACAATTCGAGCGATTTCGACATGCTCTCACCATTCAATTGTATGGATGCAGATACGCGTGCTGGCGTACAATAGTTACGATTGCGTTGCCAGCCCACCGTAAATTTAACCATGTGCCACATATCAAACTTCTGCATTACGTCGACAGCACTCCTTCTACTATTGGTGACATCCGTGGCATGGATTTCACAATCCTCTACGTCTACCTGTATGATATGGTCAACGCCAACATGATTTCTGTGAAGAGTATCCGCAAGAAGATTGAAGATAAGGCTTACTTGTTTGACCAATTCAAAGACATGTATCAAGACCTCCAAGGATACCTCATGCATCGATATAGGCTTCCTCTTGAGCTCCTCGAGATGGCAGAAGACTTTGACATCAAAGATCACAAGCCCAAAGATCAAGGTGTCGCGCTGAGATTAGATGGATTCGAACTCGATACTCCTGCTGGTAAATGGCAGCAGATATTCGAAAATCAATATCGGTACCTCAAATGTGAGAGAGTCAATGCGAGTTGGTATAAGACTGGTAATCTCGTCATTTGCGAGAAATGCAGACGCGCCTTACCAGCTCTGTTCTCATTTGATAAGAATGTCTTAAAGCCTGGTGAGAATCATGAAGACCCCCACCCCATCTGCCGCATGTGCCAACTTGTCCCAACCTGCAACGGTCTACTTGCTACAGCTGTTAATGCATACGTCCCTACAACTCCTAAAGACGCTAAAGAAAAGAGAAAGCCTAAATTCGAGGACGGCGATCCGCATAAACTAGTCGCTTCTGAGGATGTTGATCTGTCCACATGGATTGTTCCAGAGTCTACTGGCGCTTCTATGCAGGTTGAACAACATTTGGTAAGTTTCATACCCGTTAGTAAGATCAATGCAAATCTGACAATTCTCTAGAAATATGATGCAACCCTCTTCTCCCCTACATACGTTGTGCGTGATTTCCCAAGCGAAGAACTCTTCCACCAGTTCCACCAAAGGGTCTCAAGAGCAAGACATTTTCAGGAAGATTAAATGACTCGAACGTATCGGCATGGAGTTCCCTATTGAATTTGATCGAGAAATTTGAAAGGGAATGTGGTGATGGTTTCATACTTGTGTCTTCGCGTCACCTTTGATAGTGAAAAACACATGAACTTCATGTTAGCTCGTTCATATCGTAGTTAAGAGATAATGAAAGATTTCAATGCTCACAAGACACTTTGACTTAAATCCAGACCTTCTCCATAACAGTGAACTTTCTGTATGTACTATCGAAGTCTCGATGGAGACAGTAGTTTTCTACATGTACGCATTTCAATATGCAGTATTCCATGTTCGAATTCGTTGTCAGCCAGACAGAGCACACGGAACTGCAATCGACACATGTAGATTTTTGCATATTCCGCAACCATACGCCCAGTTTCAACTATGAATTTGAATTCCGAGTGGCATGAGTTTGCCATCTTCTCTCACAATGGCGTTTCCTGGACTATGATTCCGGGACGACTTTAACAACAAATTTAGAAGCATTGCATCAAATGATAACGATTGGCGTGTAAGGCTGAACACTTTTCGCAGCCCAGCTTCTGACATCCATATAACCCTTTGTATCCCTTGCTTCAATCACGACGCACTCGACTTAAAATGCACCTCACGCACAAACACCACCAATTAGACGTCGCAAGGTGTTGTGAGTGAAAAAGTTTTGTTGCATATCGTATCGGATGAACTTATTGCGGTTTTGTCACATTGTGCTTCTGACTTATCCCGATTGAGATCTTCGTGCATCCATGAGGTTACATTTTTAAGCCCCAGATATTCATCTCGGGGGTAGATTTGCAAAGACGCTTCAGGGAATGGGATATGAGCTGACAAATATGAAACTTATATATGCAAAAGCTAGTGAGTATGGGATGGGAAGCGTAAGGGTGTTCGGCATTTGTTGCATATCGTAGGTGTATCCACTTGGTCCTGAAGAAGGAATGTGTGTATGACGGGAGATGGCTTGCGGGAAGAGGATTGGATGAATGGCTAGTCGTTGGGAATACAGATGGATCGAGGTGGTGTGGGTGATGAATGATAGTGGTGTTTGAGGTTTGCGGCACGGGTTCCTTTCTATACAACTGTACAACAAGAAGTCTTGATGTCATTGAGATTATTGGTCGGGCGACGTTGCACAGATTCAGATGATAAAAGAATACAGCCAATCATGAATCAAACACATGATGTTCCTCCAAGAAAAGACAAGTATTTGTTGCATGTCTCTACTCCATAGATCTCCATAAAAGTCCATATATCACGTGTTATGTATGATAATTCATCACTTGATCATATTTGCATGTACGAGTAGAGAAGAAAGAATAGCGAGTGCATTTACTTCTATGAAGGAGAATTTGATTCTTATCATCTTCTTCTTTAGCTTTTATTTCATTGATTACACTTACCTAGTCCCTTATCCATCGGCTCTTCAATTCCCCATACAAATAGATTGAATATCAAACTTCAATTCCTATCCCCCATGCGAGGGATCCCCCCAGAAATAGGAGTCTATGATTCCCACATTCACATCCGCAGCTATCTACATAGTACGAGTAGATAGTAAATAAACATGGGGTATGATCGTCTTACGCTCCAGTTTCTACAACGTAGGAGTATAAGATCCGTTTCATTGTACTTTTCTAAAAGGAATGAAATCTCCGGAATTTATCATACGATAATAACACGATCCAGACTTTATTTGGTCGTAGGCGTGTTAATGGTATTTATTGATTTACTCTTGAACCATTTTGATATCAAACCATCGAGGAGACGAGTCTCCGGCTGTTTTTCAGATGTGCAACAAATGTTAGCATTATGATATTTATGGACAGTATTTGGAATTGGTTAGATAAGAGATGAAACTTGAGGTCAAAAGAGTTTAGTCGTGAAGCATGAATGATAGAATGGCAGTGCTTAGTTAGAAGCAGATCTATGGTCTAGATCGTGGTGGCGATGATAGTAAAGGTCAAATCGCAAATGTTCCTTTCTAGACCTATTTAACCGACCATCATTGACCAGCATGCTGTTTTTCAGACGATTTTCAGACGATTCTACGAGAATATACATCGAAGTATACCTAGGTACCTAGGTATTTATATCTTCATCCTTCGCTTGTCGTTGATCTCATCTGTCTCTTCATAGGATTGCACCTCTATTTCCACCCATGGCCATTGATGGTAAGAACGGAAAACACCTTCTTCACGTTACCAGATTACTCATCATCGGTCTCATCGGTGTTCACCCCACCGAGCTTCTTACAAAGCTTCCATCATCAAGCTGCAATCGTCATTTCTCTTCAAACAAATGCCATAGCTAAATGTTTAATCATCAGCTTTACTGTCCATTGATTGAACGAAGCGGAATATTCATGCATATAGTATTATCAATCAAACACATTGTCCCATCTCGCCGTTCCATCTCGCAATTTCCATATAAACCTTCTTAACGTGCTGTGTTCCCTTTGTTTTGTACCCCTCATCTACATCACGGATTCTCAATCAACGTCTTCTGATCGTTTACTACAAGTTTTGTCCAATCTAAGCTACAACACAACTAACAATACAAACATGCCTCCATCCAGCAATTTCTTTAGCATCATCGCTGGTGTTGGTGCAGGTACTGGTATGTTGTCTAATATCACAATCACTGCCGGAGAATAGAGATGCTGATATTCATCCTCCCTTAGGCCATTCCGTCGCCGTCAAGTTTGCTTCCACCTACCCCGTCGTGCTCCTAGCCCGTAATCCCGCCAATTATGAACCCACCATAAAAGCTATCACTTCATCCGGAGGACAAGCAATCGGAATCAGCACTGATGTCTCTGACCCCTCTTCCGTATCCAACGCATTTGAAGAAATCAAGAAGCAATACGGTTCTAAGAAATTGGCAGCTGCGGTCTACAATGTAGGGGGCAAGTTTGTGAGGAAGCCATTTTTGGAGTTGAGTCTGCAGGATTACGAGGCGGGGTATGAGAGTAACGGGTGAGTAGTGTTTCTTCTAACTGTTTGAGTAGACAGTTGCTGGGAAAATGAGTTCAGAACCAAAGCTAAAGAATGCATAGAAAAGGATTCTACCTATTTGCACAGAAAGCCTTACCACTCCTTCTGGATTCCGTGGCTGACTCCCCACATCCACCCTCCCTGATCGTCACAGGAGCTACAGCATCCCTAAGAGGCGGTGCTCTAATGTCATCATTCGCGAGTGGTAAATTTGCGTTGAGAGCAACCACACAGAGTTTGGCTAGAGAGTTTGGTCCTAAAGGAGTACATGTTGCGCACGCGATCATTGACGGTGTAATTGATATTCCTAGAACTAAGGAGTGGCAAGCGAATGGAGGGGTTGAAGATGGAAAGATCAAGGCCGATGCTGTAAGTACTTGTTATGTGAATTCGCCTTCAATGACTGACATGATGTATAGATTGCGGATGCATATTGGTATTTGCACACACAACACAGATCACATTTCACCCAGGAGTTGGATGTGAGACCATATGTTGAGAAGTTTTGATTTGGGTTTTGAATGAAGTATAATTCTGGTAGTTTACTAAATTGCATCGGACAATTCTAGCGTAGAGTTCGTCAATTGCTGTCGATAAGACGAGTAGATAGCATAATTATAAAACAACAATGATGTCCCTTGCCATCAAACTCTCGTTCTTCAGAGATTTTAGTGAAATCTAGAGGAAAGTCTGCAGGCAAGAAAGTTAACTTCATAAGGAAAACTTTGGATTTCCTCTTCGCTCGTCGTTTATCTCGAAAACAATGGTAGAAAATGTCAACAAGGTGATATATGAGCGTAAATGGTCACGAAAACGAATATGTAATTCACAAGAATCCTAGAGCAAGTTAGTAGAGGGTCAGTCCTCCCAAAACAGGTATAGCAATCAACAACACAACAAAGTGTTGTCACAAGTATCGTAGACACTTGTTGCTTCGGGAGGACTCCCATGGAGCATTTCACAGTGGTACCAGACGTGCAAGCACGAAGGATGTGAAATGGCCATAATTTTTCATTTGACTATGCCTAGCACATCCAGCTGGCAGAAGCCAGGGATTAATGCATGTAACGCTCATCGAAAGCACGCCAATCCCAACCCAATTTTATATGCCAAATTTATGCCTTGCTCTTCAACTTCTCCTTGATCTCACGACCAGCCTTGATGCGCTCAAGTATGCTCTCACGGTCCTTGTCCAACTTCAACTTGGTGATGATGACCTTGGATGGGTGGATACCGAGGGGAACGGATTGTCCAGAGGACTTCTCCTTGACGACACGCTCGACGTGGACGACGTATTTGAGACGGTAGACGGAGGTGATCTTTCCCTCAGATCCCTTGTTGGAACCACGAACGATGGTAACCTCATCATCCTTTCTGATTGGGATGGAGCGGACCTGAAAAATATTCTGTTAGATGTTGAAAATTCAGAAAATCGCAGAGAATTAATACGCACGTTGTACTTCTCACGGAGTTCCTTGCTCAAAGGAGCGCTCATGATGGTACGTCTGACGCTGGATGGGGCATCGAAATGAGCCTTGCGGGACTTTCTCCTGGAGGAGTGGAGGGCTGAAAAAAATTGCTGTTAGCTTCGCGATTTCATGGGATTACTGGCAAAATCAAAATGAAAATTGCGCAGAATTGCGGTAACAATCGATTGATGGTACATACAGCTGTTGATCTTCGTCATCTTGTCGGATTGGTGAGGAACCTGGATTTGTCGTCGTCGTTGGTTGTTTTCAAAAATTTCGCACCGAGATTTCTGGAATGGAGAATTGTGTGCGAAAAACGCTAGTGTAAGCGAAATTTTTAGCTGCATATCACGTGCACAATATGGAACAAAATATGGGACCAATGATTCCCATTCGAAGGAACATCGAAAGGATTCATTATCCAGTGTTCATTTCATTTATTTTGCTCGATGAACGTGTTCGAAGATATTGATAATCCAAGTACTGTACTGAACCTTTCTTCTTGTATTTGTAGATGCGAACTTACGATGTGGAAAAAGAGGATCACTTGAATAAGATCCTCTCCATCCAAATTGCGGACTCTTCCAACATATCATACATCACTTATTAAAAAAAGCCAAAATACATAATATGTATCGCGAGGTCAAGAAGAGAGTCTACTCATCCCATCACAATTTCCATTTAAACTCCTTACGAATACTTATTTCTTCAGGTTTGGAGTCAACCACGGGAAGCATCCAAGAGGGTCGGATCATCTCCAAACCACCATTGTTCAAATATTCATAAAGTTATGGATCTCAATCACACAATCAAAACCAAATGATCTCCTTATTAGAACACTCATACCGATAGATACGTAGTCTTAATCCATCATGACGGTATTCACGAAAACAAGCAGGTCATGACTGTGATTCCTTGTGTTACTATCCCATCACCATCATATTTAATGGCTTCTTCTTTTCCCCATCTTTGCTTTCTCCATTTTCAAATTCCACAATATCACTTCCGAAACTACAGTCAAACCTATATCCATATACTCCCTCGAATCAAAATTCCAAACCTACCACTCCTCCAATCCATCTCATTCCCTCATCTCCCAAACCTCCAAACCCTCGCATCTCAAAATGTGCACAACAACCCACTGGTACTGGAAAGCCTGCGATCACACAATCGCAACCGAATTTCTCATCCTCTGCAAAGAAGTCTCCAAAGATTGCGCTGGCGAGAACTCCGACAAAATCGAGAAGAAAGGAAGATGTCCCAACTGCAGAAAGGATTCCGCCGTACAAGTCACGACCATGGACAAGCCGGACCTCTCCTTAGAAGGAGGTTGGGAAATGATAAGTGAAGCTACCATGAAGGAAATTCGGCAGATTAAATTTTAGCATGAGGCGTTGAGAAATTTGGCACAGTACGTCGAAGGTTGATATTATGGAGTTATTTCTTACGAGGTCGTTTATATTCGAAGGATTTTTGCCAGATTTTGTCAAGGGCACATACTTATATTGGTAAATAGATAAGTTTCTAAGCGCCATAACAATACACATGTATGTTGTCGTTGACTCATCAATACCTTATCTTTGTACTCGCAAGTGTATTTCATCTTGTTGCATGTTACAAATATCACAATACATCAAGAACGTTGAAGTGAAAGAAACACCATATCATTCTAAACATAAGAAGATCGGACACAAAAGTTCATGTATTCAAAGAAATCCATGGATAAACATTTCAGACCATTCGCTCGCTCACCCATTTTTCCTCCAAAATTCCTTACATCTAAAACGAATACATTTAGTTAACCAACCGACAACCACAACTGCTGACGTAGAAAGAAATAGGAGAAGGAAAACTAACCAAAACTATATATGAAACTAGTGATCGCGCCTAACACTCTAAGCCCCCTGTTACAAACCAAAACACTAAACAAAATCCATCCCATTTATCCTTTACCACCTCTTAGGATACCTCCCCGTAGCTGCAATATTTCTAGGCCTTAGTACTGTTACCAGTGTAGAGGCACTAGCAGATGCTGATGCCGATGAACAAGATGAAGTACCATTGCCATCCCCACACGTGGTGGTGCAATTCGCACCTGACAAGATACCACCTGACTCTATATTATCGCCACATACACACTTAACCCCACTCTCAACTGCGTAGTATTCGTATTCAGAACAAATAATTGAGCAGATAGCTGGTGTCATATCCGATGAGTATGTTGTTGGGCCATCTAGGGTGCCTGTTGAGTTTGAAGAACAGCCAATGTAATCGAATGATGACGTTGCACTAGCAGATGCACCAGAGAGTGTAGTCGATGGCGAGGGGTTTGAACTGAATATCGTTATGCTAGGAAAACCAGAGCTTGATACTGACTCTGTACTAGAACTACTTGCTGATTCCAGGGTGGAGAGCGATGGATTTATACTTGTACCAAGAGGTAGACCGCTCAAATCTGTTAAACCCTGTGTACTGGAGGCCACAGATGGTGGTTCAGTGCTGGATACCTGGGCTTCGGAAGCTGGCAATGTGGTCTCAAATGAGGTACTGGTGCTAGTGCTTCCAGTTACTACATTGTTGATGGGAGGTATACCGGTTCCAGTTTCACTGGCGGATGAGAGCGATTCGATAGTAGAGGAAGACTCCGATGATAATGTACTCGAAGGGAAACTGCTTGAAGATGTAATTTCTTCAAGACTTGTCTGAGAAGCACTTGGGACAAATGTACCTAAAAGCCCTTCTGTCGAGGATGCTTCAGGAAGTACAGATTCATTGAGTATTGACGACGAAGCCGTGCTATGCAAATTGGACTCTGAAGTCGATATCGTGGTTGACTCTAAGCCTGAATTTACTAAACTAGTTGAAGATTCCGAATTTATCTGAGAGGCCGAAGCAGAAAGACTTGGAACTATCGACACTAGGATATCAGTAGTAGATGAAGCCGTAATTGATTCAGATTCGGAACCAAAATCAGATGCAGATGTCGAAATAACTGTCAGGATCACGGTGGTCTCAAGGCTTGTGATTGTTGCACTTGCACTTAAGATTTCAGATGATGCAATTCCGGTCAAGTCGGAGGATATAGCTGGCTGAGATGGCTCAATCAATACTGTCGAAGAGAGACCTTGTTGTGCTGATGAAGATGTTTCCACGGTTTGTAAACTGGAAATCGTTGACGAAAATTCACCTAGCTGAGTTGAAGTTGCCACTGAAGATATACCTTGTGATGATGAGGGAACCTCAGTTGCAAGTCCAGTGCTCGGAAGGGTAACAGAGGATAAAGGTTGCGTGGATGAGATAACTTCAGAATCAAAAGTTGTTTGTAGAGAGCTAGATTGAGACCCCGAGCCAATAGTTGGGCTAATGGCAAGTGATTCTGTCGAAAATATAGCTTGTGATCCTCCAGTATTTGGAAGTGTACTCTCTGAGCTAGAAGTAAGCTCGGGTATCGATGATGAGGTTTCAATGAGTGTCTCCAAAGGCGCTGTATTTCTCAAGGAAGCGGTGGAAGAAAAATTGGGTTCGGAAGTCTGTGATTCAACCGTCAAAATGACCGTGCTTGAAACTATTACAAGACTGGAGCTTACAGAACTAAGATCCGATGTCAAGGAACTTGGCAAGACGGATAGAGATGTTTCCGAAGCTGAGAATTGAAGGGAAGTTCCCGAGCCAATGTTTCCAACAATTGGAATGCTGCTACCAACTGTGCTACTGGCTTGAACAGCCGAAGAGCTGGTGGCAATTTCTCCACTCGTAAACGATGGGAGCTGGGAAAGGCTAATGGAGAAGGATTCAGATAAGACGGCACCTGAACTTGTGCTCAGAACAATGTCGGAAGAGCTTTCAGATCCAGCAATCGTAGATGAGAGAGAAATGAGCGTGCCCACAGTTGAGAGTTCTTCAACGGTGGAAGAAATTTCAGACTGTGAGGCCACAGATGATGGTATTATCGAAGCAATGGAAGATATCTGGGGCTGTTGGGATGATAATTCCGAAGAAAGGAGACTGCTGGCGGCGGCTGTAGAAGGCTCAACTACAGGCAATGAAGATTGAACAGACTGAACAGAAGAAATTAAGGAATTTTCTATCGTACTTGAAGGTATCCCTGAAGGCAAGGTACTTGGAGCTGCCGATAGACTTTCAACCTCGGAAGATGAAGTTATTGTGGATCCGGGATTTTGGACTGAATTTGATGGAACTCCGGACTCGCTGGAAATGATCGCGGTCTGTGATTGAGTCTCAATCACGGAATCTGTAGATTGAACCGATGGAATTGATATGATCCCGGAACTTTCCATGAGACTAAAGCTTCCAACTAAAGTAGATGGCAGTGCTGACAACCCAGGAATACTCGTGGTAAGCAATTGACTCCCAGCACCGGAACTTTGGGAGGCAATGGAAGTCTCAGTCGGATTCGCAGACTCAATCGTGCTTGCACCAGTACTACTCAAAACACTGGCGGTCTCAATTAAAGATTCAGATACTCCACCGATACTTTCCGAGGTCTCAACACTCAATGTAGATTGAAGTGCAGTGCTTGATACACCACCTGTAGGACTAGGCTCAGAAGGCAGACTTGTTCCAATATTTGAGCCACTCAAACTAGCAGAGACTTCGGTTGGTAAAATTGAGAATCCACTCGTCAGTGTACCAACTTCCGTGATTACTGATAACAATATAGTACTACTGAGTGTTTCCGAGGCTCCAAATGAAGTCCCAGATTCCAAGTTCCCAACTATTGGAGCTGTTGTTCCGGTGGATTCAATTCCACTCGTTGATACAGCAGCCGAATTTGATTCAAGGATTGAAGTGCTGGCACTTAGAGAAGCTTCAATTGGAAGAGTTGAAGTCGTAAGAGTTGGATTTTCAATCTGGGATTCGGTTTCTATACTAGAAGTCGATATGATAGTAGGGCTAGATTCAAATCCTGGGCCACTGGAAATTTGACTAGCCTCGGTAGGCAAGGAAGTGGCTTCATTTGTTGATATACCAGTACTTGTTACGAATGAAGAATCAAGGGTCGGGGATCCAGCCCCAAGACTTGTTTCTATACCTGTATTTGAAGTGGTAATGGCACCGGATTCACTGGCAGAAAGACTCAAAGATGAGGACAGTTCAGCTGAAGGAGATGAAGTGGTAGCTGGCAAAGAGCCCGAGCCCGAGCCCGATGAAGTCTCGATATCAATCAACTCGGTTGAAGACTGAGCTATTGTACCAGTTATTGATGGGAATTCTGAAGTTCCGTCTACAATACTTGTCACTTCCAGTAATAGTGATGAGCTTATAAGTCCAGGAGTACCGGAGGATATGATTTCAATGGTGGTACCAGAAGATAACGTCGAAGTGGGCGCAGTAGACGGAGTGATAACTTCCTCACTGAAAGGGCCTGAAGACGTTTCAATACCAGTATTCGAAGCCGATATAGTGGATTGAGCTTGTGCAGTGCTACTAGCTATTGAAGGATTGATAATTTCATCACTAAATGTAGTAGAAGAAGTTTCAAATCCGGTATTTGATGGCAATGCGGATGATCCAGTCAATGTAGTGCTAACAGCAATTGTGGGGGTTATGATTTCATCACTGAATGGCGTAGAAGTTTCGGGTTCACCAATTGATATCGATATAGAAGCTTCTGACGTGGTACTGATGGCAATAGATGGAGTAATTACCTTATCACTGAAGGTAGGATAAGAGGTTGAGATTCCATTTGTCGAGGCTGGTAGGGATAATTGGATCGGCGTAGTGAAAACAGCAGAAGTTTCAGCAGAATTGACAACGGTTGATTCAATACTGCTTGGCACCACCGATTCTATTGATGATTCAGTAGCACTGAATAATTCGGATGGTATTGAGGTTAAAGTGGCACTCGATGCACCAAAAACGGTGGAAGAACCTGCTCCATTGGTTAATATTTCAGTCGTCAAATCTATCGATATTGCAGAAGATTCCAAGGCACTAGTTGACTGGGATTCGAAGGTGCTTGAGGTCCCACTACCAGATGCCGCGTTATTTACAGGCGGAATGCCAGTACTGGACCCGGCAGCTGTCGATGAAGGTTGGAATGAAGAAGCCGAATCGGATTCTGAGCTTTCAATCGAAGTTGATGGAATCGCCGACAAGGTAGAGCCGCTTTCAATCGCCGAAGAAGTTGGGAATGAAGTTGCTGAAAAGGAAATAGAAGATATAGGAGAGCGATCCGAGTTAGTTGTACAAGTATCAGGAGGACAATATCCATGACTACAAGCAAAGTCACAGAGTGGATCGTATGTTTCGGCATCGAATTCCCTAAGAGCATATCCACGAGTATTGGTCTCGGGTGGAGGTTCGACTGCTGAGACCGCATATGCAGTACATGTACAAGGATCTGCACATACTCCAAAGTTGCAAGTAAATTCACAGAGGTCAGAGTTGTCCTCGGTACTAGATCCCGTACCTTCCACGCAGAAAGCCGATGGACTTGAGGAAGCGGAACTTTGCGTTGATGATGCACTAGATTTCAAAAATGATGATGCTGCCGTTGATAGAACGCTCGAGATTTCAGTAATGGATAAGGTTTCACTGTCGCTCGCAGATAGCGTTAAAGTTTCCAACGGAATTGAAGTAGATAATAGGCTTGTTAGAGTAGCCGCCAAACCGCTTGATAAGGAAGCCTCGGTAGTTGTCAGAGAAGTGCTTTCAATGATAGTTGTGCCGGATGAGCCAATGCTACCTCCTTCAGAAGGTATAGAGATGAGAGTTGTACTTGAGGCTATCAAAACAACTGAGGACTCGGGCTCACTGGTTGAAAGCTGTGTTCCAAGATTGGTTGGGGTACCAGATAGAAGTTCAGTACTGGATAATCCAAGAGTTGTAGAAATGGCATTCGTCATAGACTCCTCGAGACTACTGAGGGATGTAGAAAACCCAAATGTTGGTTCAGACGTAGATTGTATGAGGACTGAAGTAAAATCCGAACCGGTCAAGGTCGAAGAAGCTACAAGAGATTCACCTAATCCAGAGCTAACACTGAGAGTCCCATCGGATGTGGATACAAGGAACTCAGTCGTGCTACTGAGGGCAATTGAAGTGATAGGAGTCGATAATGTACCAATTGTTTCCGAACTACCAATGCTCTCGGCTGACGTAATCTGACTGGAAGTTTGAATGAAACTAGAAGCAGCGACCGAATCTGAAGGTTGCAATGTCTCACTTTCCACGAGAGAAAGAATCGTTGATTGAGTGACACTGATAGTCTCGGTCTCGGAAGCGGCCGAAGGCAATGATGAGATATCCAGGGAATTAGTTGTTGAAACAGATGGAATTGGTGATTGGAAAACATTGCTGCTAGTTTCTTGAGACGTAAAAGACGATATCAAATTACTTTCTGCAGATGTTGTAATTTCATTTGATATGCTGCTCGTAGTACCCGAGAAAAGGCTGGTTATTGCTGAAGAGCCACTTGGCGTCAATACATCTGTGAAAGATGAAGCCGGTTCTGACTGTAAAGGAGCGGAATCTGTGATAATCTCAATGGTCGTCGTTGGTATTGATAGGGACGAAACCGAAGACTCAAGGATACTGGTCGATATTTGAGGTAACCCAGAAGTGTTTGACTCTCCCAGTGATTGACCAGTCGATGTTTCCAAAGCACTGTTCACCACTGATGAAGTACTAATACCAATTTCGGTTGATGATGACTGTGGGAGAGATGTAACAGGGCTTGTTTCCAGTGTACTGCTAAGACTAGAAGGCTCAAGGGTTGTAGATTCTATGGCAGTAATCGATATCTCAATCGATTGAGATTCTAAGACAGGCAAAGAAGTGCTATCAATCGGTTCAGAAACTATGGTAGATAGAATCGCGCTAGTCAGAAGTGTAGAGCCACTATCAGTCGTTTCAATCCCTGTGGAAGACACAAGTAACAAGGTCGAAGTAGCTTCTGTACTCAATACAGCAGTCTCAGTCAAAGTTACAAAGCCAGAGCTAGTGGTGGATGTGTAAATACTACCACTTTGTCCAATACCATTACCAAAAGTTAACTCGGTACCAGTAAAGCTTGCAGAAGCAGAATTGGCTGTCTCAGACAGGAATTCGGAATTGCTGGATGATATATATGAAGGTTCTGTGGTGGAAGACTCCAATCCAATCGTTCCGATTGTCGTAGAAGGTGCTATTGAGGTGTCTGATGTAGAAGATATAGGTATACTAGCGGCCCCCGAAGAGAAAGATGACTCCAAAGTAAATAGCTCAGAGGTACTACCAGTAACGATCTCAATTGTACTGGAGAAAAGACTTTCAGGACCGGATTGACTCGCTTCACTGGTGATAACTTGTAAGCTAGCAGACGAAGTCAATGATGACTCTCCACTTAGCAATCCTGAGGTGGTGATGATTTCAATCGAACTGGATATAGGAATCAAAGTGAATTCACTGGTGATGACTGGCAAACTACTAGTCACTATCAATGATGGTTCGCCACTCAATAATTCCGATGTACTAGCAATTTCAGTTGAGCTAGATAATGGATTGAAAATGCTCGTCGTAAGGGATAAAGGTTCACTCGTTGCTGCGTGTAGGCTTGTTGACTGGTCCAAATTGGACCCGGAGGTAATTTGGGCAGTACTACCAAGGCTTGATTCTGAAACCGATACCTCGAACGTGCCTGTAAATGTGGGTATCAAGTTAGAGGTTTCCGATAGTTGTACTGATTGACTGATATCCGTACTTAATCCAGCAGTACCCGCCGAGTTACTGAGGACTTCAGTTGAGCTGGACTCGATGGGTGTACCAATTAGAGTTACCGTGGGAATGACAGATCCAAAGCTGCTCGTTAGTTCGAAAGTGACGCTCTCTTGTGTCGAGGTAACGATTTCAGTACCTGTAGATGTTTCAATAGGTCCTAAGGTGTTACTAACCCCTCCTGATAAGCTAGGTTCCGTTGAAACTGCCGTAGAAACGACAGATCCAATATTACTTGTGAAGATGAGACTGGCACTTTCCGTTACACTCTCCGACAGTTGTGATGAGGTCCCAACTCCAGAGCTGGAAGTTTGGATAAGACTTATGAGATTACTAGTTGCCTCAGATAGACTTGGTTCGATTGAATCTATCGTGGAGACAATAGATTCAATACTGCTTGTGAATCCAAGAATGGTACTCTCAGATAAACTCTCCGAGATCTGTGTTGAACTAACAAATCCAAACCCTGTGGATGTCGAAATTTCAATGAGAGTACTGCTAGAGCCTTCCGCCAAGCTGGATTCGATTGAACCAGTCGTAGAAATAACAGAACCAAGATCAGTTGTGAGATCACCTGTGGATTGAATGTCCAAAGTCGTCGTCGTGGTACTTCCTGATGCTACATTGTTGACTGGTGGAATACCAGTACTACTTTCAGTAGGTAACGAACTTTGTTCGATAGAATTAGATGTGCCAACCAGTGTTTCTGTAACTACAGTGGATCCAATATTGCTAGATGACTCAAATGACTGACTGGGCGGTCCTATAAAGCTACTGGTAGCCCCGAGAGTCGGTTCAATACTTGATTCGATAACTATAGTAGTGCTAATGAAAGTCTCTATAGATGTAATCGATCCAATATTACTTGAGGCCTCGAATGACTGGCTTGGTGTCCCTACGAAAGTGCTCGTTATTTCAACAGAGGTCTCTATACTTGGAGATGCGGATTCCGACAAAGTAATAACAAGTGTGGTGGGCAGGACAGCGCTAGATTCTTCGAGTGTACTCAACTGTGCACTGCTCGAAGGAATGATGGATAATGCCGGGGAAGAGAAAACAGCTGTACTACTTGCAGCTCCAGATGATTGGACCAATGTTCCTGTAAGCGATTGGAAACCACTTTCAGAAGACGCAATGGTACTCGTGGAGAAGATCTGGGTTATGATCGATGACTCAAGGATTTCAGTCGTAGAAGATAATTGTAGGCTGATCACTGTACTGGATTCCAAATTGGAAAGTATTCCTGTTGAGGACTCGAATCCAAAAGTTGATGGATTCTCTGTATTCGAAACTAGACTTCCTGTAGAGGTCGGTAATATATCAGTGGTCAATGGAATAGAAGTCCCCAACACTGAAGTCAAAATAGATGATTGGCTTTCAAGACTCGATGATGTCTCTTGTGCTTCAGAAGTACTCTCTGGACTTGTCAAGGAAATTACAGTCTGGGAACCGGAACTTTCAAGAGGGAAAGTAGAAGAGCCAATGAGGATCTCGGTCGAAGATACCTGCAGAGATGATGTTTCACTTAACTCGGAAGAAGTTATGATTTGAGGCAAAGAAGATTGTCCAATTGTGGAAGAATTTTCAGATAGAGATGATGGCCCCAAAGTAGATGTGAATTCTGGTAAAGATGATTGTTCGGACAAAGACAAAGATACAGAACTGGAAGTAATTTCAGGTTGGGATGTTGATTCCAAAGTGAATGAGCTACTTTGTTCAGTCGTTGTAGTTGTACCAGAAGCTACATTATTAACTGGTGGAATACCAGTGGAAGTTCCATCTCCAAAGCTCGAGGACTCAGCACTCGAAACGGATGGAATGACAGTGCTTTGAGTTTCTGAAGGTTCAAAACTTAAGAGTGAAGTTGTGGAGAAGCTAGTCATGAAGCCAGAGGATTGAGAAGCCGAAAACGATGCCAAGCTAGATTCGTATGAAGAAAGGGATGCAGATATTGAGCTTTCAATGATGGATGAAGACGGTGTAGTCGATGAAGAGAAGATATCAGAAGTAGATGATGCGTTTTGGGTTTCTTGTCCAGAAGAAGTTTGCATAGTTTGGAAAGCCGACTCAGATTGAGAAAATGACTCGGAGGTAAATGATGAATAAGATGAACTAATGATAGAGGAAGAAATTGTGGCAAAATTACTAGATGACTCAAATGCTGAAGAGCTAATGAAGGAACCGACCGTCGAAGAAGTCAGAGTTCCTTGAGTTGTAAAAGCTGACTGATCTGAAAATGAAGATGATATAAGAGAATACGAACTGGACACCCCGGACGGTGTATTCGTGAAGTCGGGCGAGCTGGTAGCTAGCGATCCGCTAGATAATTCAACCGATGAGAAAGAAAGAGTGACTTCAGTCGAAGTAACGGAGGGGCTTTCCAGACTCGCCGAACTTAGACTAAAAAAGACGTTGTCGATGTAACAGCCGTGGTTGTGGCTGAGGGATCAAAAGGCAACATCAACAATGAAACAGTTACACAACCTGCTCCAGGTGATAACATTAGGTAGATCGATCCATGACAAGCTTGTATAATGTTAGCGGCATTATATGGTAATGTCAACCCGATGGAACAATCTGGTTTGATAGATGCTACAACAGGTTGGTAACCAAGTTGTTGATATTTGGTAGCAGTAGAGAAGAAAATTGCTTCATTTCCAGCATTGTGGGTATCTTGATTAGATGCCAATAATACAGGATTTCCAAAGAAATCTATAATATTGAATTGAAGTTGACCAGTGGTAGGTGATAATGAGAAGGTCAAACTCTGTGCTGCATCTGTGGTGAATGATAAAGCATCATCACCGAATGAGACAGGATCCCATAGATATTGTGCTGGCATACCCGTCTGATTTACCAAGATTCTGAAAAATGGTGCAACAGGACATCCAGCAATTGAAGTTGAAGATGTGATAGGCGAGAAGGTTGAAGTACTTGTCACCAGACCGGAAGTTTCAGATGGTATAGTTGTTGCGATCAATGGAGTAGAAGAAGCTCCAGTTTCGGATACTTCAGTGCCGATCAATCCTGTGCTTGATCCTGTAGGTGAGGCAATGGCTGTTGACAATGTTGATGAAGGTCCATTGACTGCAACAGCAAAAGCTCGAACTTGAGTACATGCATCTCCCCTTTGAACTTGTTTAGCTGGTGTCAGGATAGTGAATACACCACTGCATATAGCCAGAATATTGTCTCCAGTGTTCGGGATATCCAAGCCAAGTGAACAATCTGCCCCAATACTAGCAGTAAATACTCTCATGCTGTCTGAAATATGGTCTGCAGTGAAAAGTTGAAGAGGTGATCCTAAAGCTGTCAATCGAACAGCACCTGAGATTGGAGCATTATCAGAACGACGTTTTGCTTGGAAAGCGTTGCCAAATCCAATATTGAAACTAGCTGCTAGAGAGCGTGATGATACGGGTGGCAATGTATCATAGCCCCATGTACCTTCAACGGTTCCACTGTCTGGATAGTTAAGTTGAGACAACCATTGTTTTGGCTTGCCAGGTTCATCAATTACTACATTGAACAGGCTTGGTATACTTGCGCAGACATAACTATATGAAGGAGGTGCAATAGATGTGGATGATGGGGAAGAGCTTGTAGATGACACTCCTTGCTCACTTGTGGAGAGAGGAGCAGTCGTCGTGACTTCAATTTCGGTAGTTAACCCAACTTCCGTAGTAGACTCAGGTGCTTCAGTTGTTGTGGTTGTTGTCATGGTACCAGATCCTACATTGTTTACAGGTGGAATGCCGGTACCAGTGCTTGTGCCCTCAGGTACATCGGAAGTTGTACTAACTCCTGGTTCTTCAGTGACCATAGCCCCCGAAGTCGTGGTGGCTGGACCGGTTTCTTCAGGGCTGGTAGTTGAAGTTGCTCCTGGTTCTTCGGTATTGATGATCTCAGTTGTGCTAGTAGCTGGCCCAGTTTCTTCAGGGCTTGTAGTTGAAGTTGCTTGTGGCTCTGCGGTATTTACAACCTCCGAGGTCGTCGTAACTCCAGGTCCCTCAGTGCTCACAATCTCAGTCTCTTCCGGACTAGAGGTGGTAGTAATACTAGGTCCTTTGGTATTCACAATTTCCGAACTCGTAATTACCGCTGGTTCCTCGGTACTAATAACAGCTCCCGACGTCGTAGTGACCCCTGGCTCTTCAGTATTCACGACCTCAGAAGTCGTTATAGCTACAGTTTCTTCTGGGCTTGGAGTTGTGGTTGCCCCAGGTTCTTCGGTGTTGATGATCTCGGAAGTCGTTATAGCTACGGTTTCTTCTGGGCTTGAAGTTGAGGTTTCCGCAGGCTCTTCAGTATTGATGACCTCGGACGTCGTAGTTACTCCTGGTTGCTCAGTGCTAATGACACCTTCAGAAGTTGTAATAGCTGTCGGTTCCTCGGTATTAACGACTCCCGAAGTTGTACTAGCGCCTGTTTCTTCGCCTTCGGAGGTGGTAGTTGCTCCTGGCTCGGTGAGTACCTCAGTGGTAGATTCAATAACATCAGTTGTGGTTATAGTGGTCATAGTGCCAGATCCAACATTGTTGACAGGTGGAATGCCGGTGCCAGTGCTACTAGCTGCCTCTGTTGAGCTAGCTCCAGACTCTTCAGTATTGACCACTTCAGTAGTAGTTGTAGCTCCTGGTTCTCCAGTACTGACAACAGCCGAAGTGCTAGTCGCTTCCGGTTGTTCAGTATTGACAATTTCCGAAGTACTAGTGGCGCCTGGCTCTTCGGTGTTAACAACTTCCGAGGTCGTTGTGGCTCCCGGTTCGCTCGTGCTTACGATACCTTCCGAGGTGCTCGTCACTCCTGGCTCTTCAGTATTGACAGCTTCAGTAGTGGAAGTAAACCCTGGTCCTTCTGTACTACCAGCCTCAGTAGTACTTGTGAGCCCTGGTCCTTCTGTGTTGATCTCTGAAGTACTTGTAGCTCCTGGTTCTTCGGTAACAATGATCTCAGTCGCAGAGGTGGCTCCAAGAGTCTCAGTAGGAACGATTTCTGTAGAAGAGACGCCAGGTTCCTCGGTAACAATAATGTCAGTTGTTGAACTGGCACCTAGTGTTTCCGTTGGAAGGATTTCTGTAGAAGTAATACCAGGTTCCTCAGTGGCAATGATTTCACTCGTCGAGCTGGGGCCTGATATCTCAGTTGGGCCGACATTTGTAGAAACGATTGATGTTGGAGGAACGTATCCAGCCAATTCATATACAATAATCGCATCTCCGGGAGCACGACGTCTGAGTCTTCTGGTGGGTGGAAGACTTCCTCCACATACTTGTGTCGAATCACCTGGACATGGATATGAACAATCGGTGGCTGGTTCTGCTTCAAGCTTTCCGTTCGAGCAATAGCAGTGTCCTGGCCCAATTGCTGCATATCTAAATGGGTTGCCTCCATTAGCTGTAGAGCAAAATTCAAGGCAGTGACCGACTGTGTCGTAAACATTTGGATCGGTACTTTCCGTGACCGGTGGAGCCAATGGAAAGCCAGTACCCTCTTCATCTGAATAACAGTCCACTGCATTGTAAGTACCAGCTGGTGTATCGCCAGATGAAACGCGAGTTGGTTCCGAAGGCGGCAGAGTTGTAACCCCTGGTTCTTCGGTACTGACAACTTCTGTTACTGCAGGTTCAGTAGTTGTAACAGGAGGCTCGGAAGTGACCTGTGGAACTGAAGTTGATAACACTTCACTAGTAAATGAAGATCCAGAATTGGCATTGTTAACTGGTGGAATAGTGAAACCAGAAGATGAAGTAAATTCAGAAGATACAGTTGAACTGCTAGGAATATCCGATGAAGGGGCCGCAGAAGAAGATTGTGTGGTGCTAGCACATTCAGATGCTATTAATCATTAGAATGGGTTTATTGTTTGACCAGTATTTTCAGAGTACTCACCAAATACAGTTTGAGCCGGCTCGATCACAGTTGTTGTCCCATCGAAGATAGTCGTAGTTCTACGCTTAACTTCTGTGGCAGTAACATATTCGGTATGAATTGAAGGGGGTGCAGTATAAGTAAGAATTGAAAAAGAGACATCAGTATAAGTCGTATATTGTGGAACGACTGAAATTCTATAACGAGTGACAGTTGAATAAACAGTAGCTGGTACCGCGTGAGCGAAAGGAATGAGTGCAATACCACAAGCTGCAACCTGCAGCAGGCACTTTGGAAGTGAAGTTGGACGCATGGTCCTGACGTAGTGTCTGGGTGAACTCGAGTAGATGATATTTGAGGCTTCGAAATGTCTGAAAATAACAACTACTTGACTTCTGTAAAAAGACCGACGTGAAAGTGTGTAAAAAGATACTTTTCAAGGAATTGAAGAATATATAGAATGTAAGCTTTGTTTTTGAATATGGTACTGGGAAGAATGTAGATGGCGTCTTGCCCGCGTCAAGGAGACGATAAAGTCAGAGACATAGGATACAAATTAATGACAAGAATATTCAAGGAATGGGTAACGTTTGGCAAGATTCCCATATTGGAATGTGATATCGAATGACAGTCCTTGAATTCTAGTGTAATTTGACTTCAAACATGTAGACTACACCACCTAAAAGTCACTCGAATTCATTGTATATTGTAATCGAACGCATCAATCTATCGTCTGATATTGAATACAGGAACAATTCGTACAGTTCTGATGATATTAGTATAGCATCACAAGAGAGTACATATCGATAGACCGTCGTTACAGTGTTCTGTATTTTCACGTGATTTCAGATCTTGTTTACTTGCCAAGAAACGTTTGAAATGGATGTACATTCTTCACCACTTCGAGGCTATGGCGCCAATAGGAAAGGTCTGTCAGTCCTCCCTAAGATATGTTTCGAATCTAGAAGTATTAGAGTTGGTGTAGAGCATCTGGAGAATGGCAAAAGAATGCCGCATGAAGGATGGGACAGTCTGGACCAAGTCCTCGAGAAGAAGAATACCGTTTGATAGGCATGGGAAGGAAATATCTATTGAAAATCGTGGCCGTTTGTCGGTATGCTTGAAGGCGAACAAGTGTGTGAAGAGGACAAGAAGGAAAGGAAAGGAAAGGAAAGGGAAAGGGAAAGGGAAAGGGAAAGGGAAAGGGAAAGGGAAAGGGAAAGGGAAAGGGAAAGGGAAAGGGAAAGGGAAAAGAAAGTGTTGGAGTAAACAAAATAAAACGAGCAACTACCTTTTCCTCGCAAGATTAGAGGCGCCACCACCACTCCATCGACGACAAAAATCGCGCCTTTCAAAGACTCACCGGGTCACTATTAAAAAAGGAATAGAAACCATCCTCCAAACCAATCTTTGAAAACCACGCGTACACCCATAATACATGATTGAGAATCATTGTCCTCAAATTTCCCCTACGCCTCTGACATCAGCCCTCTAACCTCCCCTGAATCATATTCCATCCTCCCGCGTTCCGCAAAATGGCTCTGGCTTTCCGGTGTACCTAGCTATGATCCTAACGGTAGTTGAGAAGTAAGGGAACCCCCAATCCACATGCCAAAACATCTCACTAATTTTTATTTGACAAAAACAGATCCACTCTTCACGTGTTTGTGGCGCCGGCCTTCGTGTTCCCAAAGAATGAATAAAAAGTGAGCGTCTTCACTACAGCAAGTTCTTTCCCTCTGAATTTTTTTGCTCTCGTGAGCTCCTGCTTCCTTTGTCGATATTCATATCCAGTTTGAGAGTCTTGATGTATCACGTGATACCAGCATGCTAGGAGACTTTGGCAAAGGGATGGGAAAGTTCAGTTGACGTGCACACATAACTCTATCAACTGTTTATATTGACTTGAACAGTCAATGGAATTAACAATCAAGTATATCTAATTACCGGAACTATCGAGCTCAAACCTATCGTCTACAGAACTAACAGCAGTATTCCTGTTGGTATCCATTTGGTTGATAAGTGTAAAGTAATTTGTCTATTATGGTTGTAATCATTCTTGATCATTTTTATCTAGGTACCTATGAGAAGCTAGGGTTACCCATAAGGAGCGCCTCTCTTGCTAATATAGTGCCCTCCATGATCACATAACCGATATCCCGGCAGTTCTAATTCATATCAACTCATTTCCTAGCTTGATACCACCTAAATTATACTATATCAAATACATTAAAATCGACTCTTCATGCGTTTATCAAAAAGGAGAATCAACATACCCAAGTACGTTCCTAGTATACAAATCAACCAATCAACAACAAAACAAAATTTCATTCACTCAAATCATTCATTCACACCACCTACCTATATTGTAAGTTAACCCTCACTCTCCATCACCACTCCCTCCTTTTCAAACTTCCAAACCCTAAAAAAGATGTACAATACAGTCTTCGATTCTGAGAACAGATCATGAAGCCACTCCGTCCCCAAAGCGTGCTTTCTATCTAAACACCTACATCCATGCATACCTCCTCACTTCCCCAACACCAGCTAAAATTCTCTTCCAAATAACAACAACTTTATGTACACACACATGTATATTCGTAGGTATTTTCTAAACATCATACTCCTTAATATAGTACATCACCTGAGCTCACACTTCCGCACAAGCCCTATGATATACTACGAACCCCGTCACTCCCATCCCCTTCACCTCATTCCCATCCTAAAGTACCTATACAACATACCAATGCCAATCCAGCAGCTCCAATATCTACACTCTAAACACCAAATAATAACCCCTAAACCTCTCACCTAATACCAATACATCTCTAAACCTACTACCTATACATCCCCAAATTCTACCACACATCCAAATCCCTCACACAAAACACAATACAACACAACACTATACAATACAATACAATAAAATACAAGAAACCACCCCTCCCCTCCCCTCCCCTCCTTCCACACCAAACTCCTCATCTCCTCACGATCCAGATAACACAAATCCACTACGCCTCAACCCCACTCCTTAAGATCGAGAAGATACATACCTATATAAAATCTCTCATTCAATTCAACCTTTCGTAAAAAATTCCAAGTGTTTCTATGAGAATATTTCCAAGTTCCAAGTTCTTGATTCAAAGATAATCTGAATTCAATTCAGTTTGATATCAATCCCACTCCCAATCCAATGTATTTCTAATTCCCGAATCAGACCATTTTCGTTTATTTAGCAAAAGAACTCCATTCGCTTCCCATAGGATAAGTATGCATATATATCCAATATAATCTTCTAATCCCGAGAAGAAAAATATAATCAAAATAGGTATCTCGAACTCATATCGAACTCAACCCAGACCATTCCATCACTTCAAAGAAATCATTTCTTCCCTCCCTCCTCCCATCTCCCCTCCCACCCTCCCCTCCCCATCCTACTCCCCCAAAACCATAAACCCCGCTCCCCCACACAAACTCATCAAAACCGCCACCGTCGCCACCGCCGCACCCACCCTATCCCCCCTCGTAATCACCTCAACCCTCTGCATCCCCCCTGTCCCCGTCTTCCCACTCCCCGCCCCACTATCCCCCACACTCGTCCCGCCAGTACTATTCGTCACCGGGCTAATCCTCGCATTATCCGTGCCCGGCACCGCCACCATCGCGCTCTGTATCGCCCCCAACGCACTCATCTGCTGTCCCGCCCCCACATTCCCATCAAACGTGCCTTCCGTCCACTTAAACCCGCACGCACCACCCGTACCCACACATTGCCCTCCCGCTGCTTTCGCGCTGCTTTGCAAGATAGGAAAGATACTTTTAGCGGTAAACGGCGCGAGGATCGAAGTAGAGGCGAGCCAGGCTGTGAAATAGGCTTTGAAAGATAGTTGATCAGTATCACACTTATTAACCGTTTCGCAGGCCTGTTCAGTGATGATGGAATTTGATTTGTTAGAGGCGAAGATGTTGATCGAGGTGTTCATTAATTGGTTGGTGCGTTGTTGCCAAGTAGAGTTACCGTCGGTCTGAGTATATAGGTCAGTTTGGATTTCTTTCCTCTGTTATACTGCCCGAAAAAGAGAAGACCCATCTCCTATTCATCGTTGTATTAACGAGAAAATACAAGAGAAAAAACTCACATAATTAAACATATTCGCCGCTCCATGCAAATAAATCCCCGCATTATAACTCCACTGCAATCGATCTACGCTCGCGCAATTATCCGTATCACTACTCCCATCAAAAATATTGTAGCCACTATCAATCAATCCCACACTCTCTTCCCATTGCCAAATCGTCTCCGCCCAATCTGCGTACGTTTGATTACCCGTATACCTAGCCAGTCTAGCTCCTATATTAAAAAAACACCCATTCGCAATGGAATTCTTATACGTGAACCCATTATTGAAAGTAAATATCTGCCACCTCAATCCACCTCCACAAGTACTAGTGTCCCATCGACTTGCCATTTCATTGAACACCGCTTGAGCCAACGCAAGCCATTGTGGTTGATCAGCAGGAGGATTTTGAAAATTCGATTCGGCAGCTAACATAGCAGCCATTCCCCAAAATCCTTGATCGTCATTCCCTTCATCTTTGGTCTGATTCGCAGGCATATAATCGGCATCGGGACCAGCTTGAAATAGCAGAGCTTCAGATACAATACTGTTGTATGAAGTATCACCCGTGTAACGCCAATAATCTATTAAAGTCATGAACATCCCACCGCCTTCCCACCAAAAATAAGGTGGAGGTAACAGTCCTGGAGTTTGGCCCTATGAGATATTAGCAAAGAACCTGCATCACATGAGACCAACAACATATTCACATACCGATTCATTCCCATGATAATACGAAATCAAATTCGCAGCCACCGAACTCGCAGCGCTTTTAATCGAACCTAACAACAATCATCAGACTCAACATCCCAACCTCCACCAACAGAACAAACATACCAGCCTGTGAAGTATCAACCGTGAGAGCATGCACAACCCTCCACCCAAGCAATGGGCATACCCATAACCCACTCTGAATCCGCATCATAAAATTACGTATATCCACGCAAAACACAAAAGCAAGACCGATAAATGAATGAAAGTAAAGCGGAGAAGAATCAAGCCCAAGAAGTGGAAAGAGTCTTGGAAAAGGCTTGTTTAAACGGCGTGGCGCAGATGCGGAGATAATAATAAAAGATCGTAAAGATGACGGCAGATAATACAAATAGTAATATTATAGCCCTGTCAAAGGTGCGGTGGTAATATTCGTGTCGTATTCAAATCAGATACTCCGTTACCAAATAGGTAAAGTTCAAGT